AAATCAGCCCTGAGTGCTCACTGGAAGGACAGATCCTGAAGCTGAGGCTCCAAGACTTTGGCCACCTCATGAGAAGAGAAGACTCCCTGGAAAAGACCCTGATGTTGGGAAAGATGGAGGGCACAAGGAGAAGGGGACGACAGAGGACGAGATGGTTGAGGGACAGGGATTATCTGAATGGGAAACAGTCAAGGACAAAAATAAAAATAAAACTGAACCTTTCTATTGTTTATCTACATTGGTTCTAAATATTTCAAATTGCGCCAACATGCAAAAACCTCATTTGGTGCTGTTGCTCCAATCAAATTGGGAATCCCCTGCAGCTACTTTAAAGTAAAAATAAAAAATGTCAGGAGATCCAATTATGGCCCTCCAGAATCTCTTACTAAATTCATCTGATGACAGATCTCCTGTATACTTGCTTCTGTAAGGCGCTATTCTCTGGCTCTCCATGTCAATGTGACATATGGGAAGGAAGTGAGTGATAAATTCCCATAATTTTATTTTTCTCATTCTCTTGGTTGAAAACAAGCAATGAGAAAACAGCCTGTGACACATATTTGCTATTTAAGTAAAAGGAATAAGTTTTTAAGGGCAGTCAGAATATTATTACTCATTTTGGTAGCACCTTTTTTTTTGGTGAAAAGTACTTTGCAGTGCTCCTCTCATTCAACCAGAAAAACTTGCAAGATGAGTCATTAGCATGCTTATTCAACAAAGGTTGAATCGAGGCTGAGAGAGATTTTTGCACAGGGCCAAGTAGCAAGTTCATAGCTCAACTAAGATCTAAACCTCAGTCTCCCAGGAACACTAGAATCTACTATGGGTGCAGGAACCATCAGTTGCCATCTTACCAACCCCAGGGGTTGTAAACAGTGACTGCTGGAATCCACCTTAGTTTTCCACGATTCAGTATGGAGAGAATGTCTGGCTGCCTGTGATGGAGAAACATCTCACACATTCTTTTCTGCCCGTCTCTCAATGACTCATGTGTACGGCTATTTATATTTCTTGTCTAGCATTTTAACTGCCTTTCATTTAAGGCTATTTGCTCCATTTGTTTGCAGTTCTCAGTTGGTGATCTTAAGAAGCACCTTACTTTCCAGACTAGGTTTGTTTACCCTGACAGCTTCTTATAGAAAATGCATTTCCTGCATTGAGGGAAGGAGAAAATGAAGCTGAATATATTTTTATGTGCAAAGAGTAGCAGAAAGGTGGATGGAGTCTGCTAGATTCTACAGTGCCTTTAACTCATTGGTGGGCAGAAGGTAAATAGGGTGTTGTTTATTTATTTATGGTTTATTGGTAGAGTTCTACAGGGCTTTTATTTCAGCCAGCACTCACAAGAACTCTGTTCCAGCACCTCTAAGGTGGGTGCCGTTGCCATTATAAGAGAACAAGGCAGGTGTCTGTGGTGAGTTCCAGCACCTCTTTTTCTAGAAAAAATAGCACTGGATTTCTGGGTGATTTATTAATGATTTTCAGTTTTATACATTTTGATAATATTACAATCATGTTAACATTTCAAAACTCGACATCCTTCCCCCTCTTTCTGTGGTTCCTTAAATTTGTTTTTAAAAAATATATATTTTCTGCATATTCCAAATTAACTTAATTTACTCATTTATTCATTTACTTTAAATATATACTCTTATAAAACTGCAGGTTATTACAGTAATCCTACCAATGTTCTTATCTGTTTACAGTTTATTTATAAACATTCAATAAACCATTTCCACTCTTTTATAAAAAGTTTGTTATCTTGATTTCTGATTTTAATCAGGATTTCTGGGTGATTTGCAGTTCGGTGACTAGGGTTTCTGACTCCCCGTCATTTAACAATAGCACCCATAGCCTAAATTATGTTGCTGAAATGAAAAAGAAGCAAGGCAGGGTGGTAACAAGATACACACACACACACACACAGAGAGAGAGAGAGAGAGAGAGAGAGAGAGAGCTGTGAACTCCATTAAGTTCTAGTATTCAAAATGAACTCCTGTGGTCAGAATTCTTTAATTCCAAAGTCAATTCCACCAAGATCTAGTTGGTGGATCTTGGGGAATGCAACCACAAGGTAGATTCAAGTCTGCCTACCTCTGCTTTAACAAGAATTTCTATATACTCCCAAAGACCAAGGGTTGTATTCAAAACCTAGCTTTACATAAAAACCTCTAATCACAACATAACCATTGTATTTTGAAAAGACCCTGATGTTGGGAAAGATGGAGGCCACAATGAGAAGGGGATGACAGAGGACGAGATGGTTGGACAGTGTTCTTGAAGCTACCAGCATGAGTTTGACCAAACTGCAGAGGCAGTGGAAGACAGGAGTGCCTGGCGTGCTCTGGTCCAGGGGGTCACGAAGAGTCGGACATGACTAAACGACTCAACAACAACAAGAATTTTTTTATTTCTATACCATTTTATATTTTTATAGCATATTAAATCAATAAAACAATCTGAAGAAAGTCAAATATAGAGCATACAGTCAAACCAACATAACAGGAAACTAAAATACCATCTTAAAGATTTCAAAATAAAACACTACAAAGGAGGTCACCTACAAAATACATATTGTGTTTATTAAAGTTTGATTTTTACACATAGCGCTGCCCACTGCTTTGAAGCAAGGGGATTAAAATGCTCTCTGGGACCTGTTGCCTTGGCAGGTATTCCTCAGGACCACATGACATGGGAAATGGGTGAGAGGATCTCCCATCTTGATTTTACTTGATAGCAGCTCCCTGCATTTTATCAGAGCAGCAGTACCAGAGACCTTTTCCCCTGCAAAGTGAAAATCACACACACACTTCCTGTTATTTGACCTGCACTTCAAGGCTTACAAGTATAATTCAGGTACGTACTGGTAAGTCCTACACATACTCCCTTGGGGCAAATAGCAGCTGGGGAGGGTTACCTTCTGAACTCTCCTGTCATTAGCTTTAATTGATGAAACCATCAGTGGATCATTCTGGAACTATTAGAAAGCCATTAGCCTAATGAAGGATGATCTCCCTAGCCTTTTCCTTTTGAAAGAGATGTTGAAGGGAAAGGGGTTTTTTCCAGTGATGGCACTGGGCCAGCCCTATCATTAGGAGTGGGATGACTGCCTCAAGTGGCAGATGCTGGGAGGTGGGGAATGACGGAGGGATGTTGAAGGATCTGTGGCCACTGTGGAACAATCTGCAGCCATATCACAAAGACATGATTGCTAGACAGTCACCAACAAGAGCAATGACACCATGGAGTTTCAAAACCTGTACTGTATAGAGAGGACTCTAATGATGTCATATCCCCAAACCTGGTGGCGGGGGAAAAAGACAATGGGTTAATCTCTATCCCTTCCTGTCACTTCACACTCTTCTTCTTACCTATGATGAGGTAGGTTGCCTGTGAACTGGACTATGGACCTTTGTAACTTTTAAGGATTATTGCTGTCTGGTTTTCATCACTGCACCTGTTGAAACCTGGCAATACATGTAAGGTGAGTAAACCTCCTATTTTTCTGGTTTACTTAAACTGTCTGAGAGTGATTTCTTTGTTAAGAGGGAAACATATAAAAGCAGAGGATCCAAGTCTTCCTTAAGCATTATTAGATATAATAATTGTTCCGGAAGGTTACGCAACCTTGTCCTAAAAACTTCTAAAGATAAGCTGTGCACGGATGGTAATTTTCTCTGCTGAAATACGTATTTGCATTCTCACACAAGTGAGAGAAAGAGGGAGGATATTTAATAAATAAAATATCCTCCCTTACTCATCTAAATCCATCCAACAGCCTCTTAGCCTGCTCTGTGGCACCTAATTTCAAGTGCTTGGATGCGGAGGATGTCCTGTCAACAGTTATCTTCTGCATTTATCCTTTGCTTTGCTTCAGGCAGCAATATGTCTTGGGCTAGCTTTGGTGAGACAACGGCAGCGTAGAATGCCTTTCCCCAACCCAAATAAAAGGAATAAAAACCTAATTTGATTTAGGCTGCCTTTGGGTTTGGTGGCCTCTGCAACTGCTGCAGAGAACTACAGCAAGTTTGACTCTGTCTGGAAGCAGATAAGGTTGTTGTTGTTTTACACAGAAGAGAGAAGAAAGTAGGATGATGTCCCCACATGATTTATTTATTGCCAGTATTTATAGGCCACCCTATATGACTGGGTTCCCAGGGAGGCTAACCACTATGTTAAGAACAGATTAAACATTAATACCATAAAAGAAGACAACGGCAAAGCACAAAAGCAGCATGAAATATATATGGCAACGATAAACGAGATTAAAGCTAGTGCAGATTAAAAGCCCTGGAAAAGAATCGGTTTTTTTAAAGCCTCCTCTGGGCACCACAAAGTACATAAACGAGGGTGCCAGGCCATTTTCCCATTCCAAATTGCGCTGCCTCCGTGCCCCAAGGGCTTTTCTCTCCTCGGGGATACACCATGGGCCGCATTTCCTCTGGCGACGCTTGCGCGCGCTGGCATCGCCTTCTGCGCCTGCCGATAAGGCGCGATACGTGCGAAGCAGCCCAACACGTGTCCCCGGATCCACCCCCACCCCCCAAGACCGCACACCCCACATTTCAACCTCAGGCCCCTGGTGGCGGTGCACGTCTCTTCCCGCCTTACACGATCCACCCCCCACCTCCCGTAATGCTCCCGTTCAGACGTGACGCGCGCTCTCGCGGGCCTGCCTCCGTTCCCTTGTCGTCGTCCTCCGACCACCCCACTTGCCGCCGTCACACCTGTTACCCCGGGCCCGGCCCCGCGTCTCCATCCCGGCCCGAGGCCGCTTTGGATCCCCTCCGGTGCGGCGATGGGAGGCGCGCGACGCCCTCGGGCTCGGCGCACGGACGGCGCGCCTCCTCCTCCTCCTCCTCCTCTGTCTCCTCCTCCCGCTGCTGCTTCTCTTCCCCCGAGAGGGACTCCAATCCCCGAGAAGCCCTGAGCCGGGATAATGCTGCCACCTCCCCCGGGGACACGGAGGGAGGGAGCGAGCGCGCCGAGGGGACGGACACGCGCGCACCAGCCCAGGCGGCCGAGCCGGGGCCGCGGCCATTAACAGAAGCACAAGCGGGATTCGCTTGGGTAGGTGGGTGGGGAGCTAAGGGAGGTAGGTGGCCGCCTGCCCGCCCGCCCGCCTGCCATCCATCTCCCTCCTCCTTCGCCCGAGGATCTCTCCTCCGCCCGCCTTTCCCCGCGCGCCCTCGCTCCCCCTCGCCAGCGCCGCCGCCGCCGCCGCCACTTCCAGGCGAGATGCGGGCAGGAGCGAGCGGCGTGGCTGGCGAGCGAGGGAGCCGCTCCCTCAGGCAGACACGCACGCAGCCGGCGGCGGCGGCAGCAGCAGCAGCAGCAAAGGATGCTCCGGTCGCCATGGCAGCAGAAGCGGCAAGAGGTAAGATGGACCAGCTCGCGCAGCTCGCTGCCTCCCTGCCGGGGCCGCGGGGAAGGGGCGGCCTGGGTTTTGCGCCGCGCCTCGGAGCCCTTGCGCGCCTTCGGGCGAGGGACGGCGCGCTTCGCCTTGGCTGGAGAGCGGGCAGCTCTTGACCTCGGCCCGAGGGACCCTCTTCTCCCCAGGACGGAGGCCCCTGCCTGCCTGCCTGCTTGCCTGCCTGCCTGAGGCTGCAAGGACCCGACTTCCACCATCTCCCTCCTCATGACTTGGGCATGGCCACCGGTGGGCACGGATCTGTCTGGCTGGGTGATTTGCCCCCACCTCAGCCAGATTCTCTTATCCTCACTTCGGCAGGAAAGGGCACGGCAGGCCTGTGCTGCTCTCACCTTTACTACCTGCCCACCCCCCCTTCCTCATCCCCATAGGAGCCAACTCTAAGGAACCGAGGTCCCTTCGCGCTCCCCCCAAAAAATATTTGAGAGGGCAGCCCCCAAGTTGATAGACACTGCCATTCAAATGGTATGTGTGTGTGTGTCCACCTTGTAATCAATTTTGCAGGACGTGGCTTACCTGTGTCCACCCCCACCCGGCTATTTTATTCAAGTTGGCACCCTTGCCCCCCCCCAGGCCTACCCTCATCAGCAATAACCATGGTAACTTAGTTGAGGCCAAGGTCTGCCCAAGACAAAAGGATATATAGCGTTGGACTGGTGGCGGTGGGGGAGGATGTGTCAGTGGGGAATATCCCCCACCACCACCTTGATTATTCCTGGTTTCCCCTTCAGCCCCACAGGGCAACAGTAGGGGCTCTTCCTGGCCCAGCCTCAGCCAGGTTTCCTCTCTCATGCCCACCTTGTGTTTTATTTTTATTGTCTCTTTTCATTTCTGGGTCATCTTGCTCTCCCTCTGAGTCCCTCCTTTTCTGCCTCTTCCCCGTCACGAGCTTGTGAGTTAACTTGTTTCCGTAGTCAGGCAGAACTTCCCATATGGAAAGACGGCTAGGATGGTGGGAGCTGGCATTTAACAGGAAGCGCCGTGGGGGGTGGAAATCTGCCAGCATAAGGCTTGCTGAGAACCAGGCAGGCCCACATCCCAGGGTGAGGAAAGGGAGGAGGAGGAGGCAGCGGAGTGAGGTCTTAGCCAACCGGCTTAGTATTGCGAGGCTTGACCAGAAGTTGTGGGAAAGGTGTTGTGTTGCTCGTGTTGCATTTAGGGAACCCGTTGTCATTCCGAGCTGAGCTGACCCAGCTAGACCTCCGTGTGCCATTCAGATTAGCAGTGGCCGGCGCTGTCATCAGCACAGCCGAGCGTGAATTGCGAGTGACAGGCACAGTGATCCGACACACCTGACACCCATGTTGGGTCCTGCCAGTTTTCTGAGATGCCCAAATATGGTCGGATGCTGAAGCATCATAAAAACCTGCAGAAGCTACCCAGCCAGAAACCGTAGCATGGGAAGCAAAAAACAACGCCTGTATGATGGGCAGTAATGACTCTGTCACATCACCTGCAAGTTGTTGTTTTTTTTGGGGGGGGGGTGAAACATTGCTTGTACAAAAAGCTCACCACCAAGCAAGCAAAACAGGATTCCAGGCCAGGCTAGCAACCAGGGTCAGTAACACTGATATAAGGTACTGTAGTAGATCTTTTTACCAGTCTTTGATCCCCTTGTTCACAAGGTGTTCATGATGTGAGTCCCAAGATTTGTGAATTAGCATGGATAGACTGTTAATGGAATTTCCAGCTATCTCAGAGGAAACAAATTGACACTGAAGCAATTCCCCCCCTTTTTTTTTAAAGGTCAAGCTAAGTGATAGCTCTAAAAGCCAAGGCTGGCCACCAGTGCCCCCTGCCAGGCTGTAGTCGCCTGGGTGGTCCTTTGCTCTGGAACTATTCCAGGAAGGCTGCATGTGTGCAGCAAAAAGAACTTACTGTCAGGGAGAGGCTGTGCAGCTGAAGAATATTTTACAGCCAATCATGTAGAAAGAACAAATAGGCCAAATGCATGACTCTGGGCAAATTGAGGAGACATGGGTCAGGATGGATTGAGGTTTATCAGCTGAGCTGCGTGTAGAGAGACAGGACTGCAGTGGGTGATGGTTATGAGGTCAGGGGGTCACTGGCAGAGAGCTGTGGGAAATAACCGATGGCAAGAGAAGAATGGGGGTGTGCGGCAGGACTGAGGAGGAGGAGGAGCAGAACTATAGTGGGAGCTCAGGAATGAAACAGCATGTGGGGACTGAGGACCGATGAAAGGGCATCGTTAGGCGGCAACAGCACAGACTTCTGCTCTTTGGGAGAAAAGCAAGTAGGCAAGACTGCCAGTTGGTCAGGTCACAGGAAAAGCAAAAAAGGAAAAGCACAGGGAAATGAGGGTCTGCTCAGCAGTGCTTTGAGAACCACCACTGCAAGGTATTTCAGTACTGGCTGTTCAGATACAGCCCAAGACATTTTGATGCCCAAGGCAGAAAATCCAATTGGCACACCCACCCAATAATAATCTAACGGACATGGGGGTGCAGCTCACCAGGAAAGTTCTCCTGCCTAAAGGTAGATGAAAGCAGCGGGAGCTCTGTTCCCAGTTCTGTCAGTGGGACTTGCACAGAAGAACCTCCCCAGTGAATTGTGCCTCATGGGCCAGGTGTGTCTCCCACACGGCCACCTTTAGCAGTACATGAAATCCACCGTCTGTGGCACTGGCTCAGCTTGCCTCCTGCAGAGCACAGGGGAGTTGTAAGAGGCAGGGAGAAAACTAGGACCCTCCCCTTCCCACCCACCTCCCAGCAGATACTTTCATATTTCATGAAATTATTCCGGCCTGGGGTGCAAAAGAGCAGGTAACAAGAGGCACATGTGGCTGCCATGTGGTTGAACTCCTGACATACAATTTCATTGTTCTATTGATCTAGCAATTTGGCACATTAGGCTATACACACTCATTGCGTGGGCTGGTGAATTGGGAATGATTTCTGCGATGTGGGGAAGAAGGCTGGAAGAGATGGAGCTGTTTTCTGACGCTTTCCTTTTTCTTCTTTCTACAGTAAGGTTTCTCTAAACTCTTGAGTTACCAAGGAACTCTGGGGAAACGATTATTCCCTCCTGCAGTTGTTGATTGGCTGCCTACAGATTCCAAACAAGAGGAGAAGGTTCTGGTGACACTGAGCCACTGAGAAGCGGAGAATGTTGGTGTCCTTTAGGCACTGAAGAAAGAGAGAGAGAGAGAGAGAGAGAGAGAGAGAGAGCACTCAGTGGCCTGCAGTTCAGATGTTTGGTGACAGAAGTCTGGTCTTGCTCCCTGTGAGAACCAGGGCTTTCATTCTGTGCACCATTCCATTTCCCCATTGATCCTTTATTCATCCAGGAGAGTCAGAGCAGTGTGGGGTTAAGAGAAGGTTATCTTCTTTTCATTTCTTTTTCTTGAGGGAGACAGAAAGCAAGCAAGCAAGCAACCTAAGAAGTAGTACCAGTAAATAAAAATGCTTCTTGCTTATCTCACCTCCTTAAAATTTATTATTTATTTTCACCGTATATCCTCTGCCTCTGTACTTGATGCTGTGTAAAAATAAAAAAATAAAAAGCCAGTTACAACAATAGTTTAAAACGCAACAAGGGAACCAGCCGCACAAATATACAGAGCCTCTCAAAGAAAAGCAGCTGAAATAGACAAAATGCCAAACTGCTATCACTAAAACTAGCAGTAAATCAGTAAATACATAGGCCAGCAATTCAGGAAAGCAACTTTTGCTGACCAGAGGCTCAGAGGAAATGTGTCTTACATTTCCTCCCACAATCCAGGAGGAATGGGCATAGGCTGACATCCTCCAAAAGGTTGTTCAATATTATCCAGCATACAGCTGCAAAGAGTTATAAGGATCCTGTTACTATACGTGGACTAGCTTTCCGTACAGACAAAGGAGGGTGTTAGTACATAACTTTAAAAGGTAGGAGGAGGGGCACATACAGGTTGCAGCAGAAGGACAGCTTTCTGTCTTGTTTTGCTACTTTCTTTGTGTTCTGTAAACAAAATTAAAACAAGATATAAATTTAAAAGATATATAAGAGGAAAAGCGAGACAAAAATTAAAGAAGGGAGTATGGATCGAAAGAGTGAAAAACAAAGAATGCAGAAAGAGCAGAGGAGGAAGGAATAATAAGGAATAGGATTAAGAGAGTGGGCACTCCTCATGGCAGTACCTTCCGGACGCTCCATCGACAGTTCTCTCCTATTTCCTCCCGGAAGTAGATGAGACAGGCACTCCCTTGCCTTGTGCATGCTCCTCTGCACTGTCTCCAGATCCCAAGGTGGAGGAGGCACAATGAATCGCGGTGGAGGCAGCAGCCCCATGGAGGAACTCTCAAAGGCTACCCTGCACAATAACTCGCTGTGGTGGCTGGCTTGCGGGCTCCTTGCCCTGCTGGCCAACTCCTGGATCATCCTGAGCATCACAGCCAAGCAGCAGAAGCACAAACCTCTGGAGCTTCTGCTGTGCTTCCTGGCAGGGACCCACATCCTCATGGCTGCCGTGCCGCTCACCACCTACGCGGTGGTGCAGCTGCGCCGCGAGTCCTCCGACTACGACTGGAACGAGAGCATCTGCAAGGTCTTCGTCTCCACCTATTACACCTTGGCCTTGGCCACGTGCTTCACCGTCGCCTCCTTGTCTTACCACCGCATGTGGATGGTGAGGTGGCCTGTCAACTACCGCCTGAGCAACGCCAAGAAGCAGGCCCTGCACGCCGTGATGGGGATCTGGATGGTCTCCTTCATTCTCTCCACGCTGCCTTCCATCGGCTGGCACAACAATGGGGAGCGGTACTACGCCAGCGGCTGCCAGTTCATCGTCAGCAAGATCGGCCTGGGCTTCGGCGTGTGCTTCAGCCTGCTCCTCCTCGGAGGCATCGTCATGGGCTTGGTTTGCGTGGGCATCACTTTCTACCAGACCTTGTGGGCTCACCGAAGGCACCATAGATGCCACCACCTGAGAGCGGAGGAAGCCGCCTCTGCTTGCCCGTCTTCAGCTCACAACACCTTCAACGTGCCAACTATCGTGGTCGAGGACGTTAGGGGCAAACGGCGGTCATCGCTGGATGGGTCTGAATCTGCCAAGACTTCCATGCAGATGACCAATCTCATCAGTGCCATCGTTTTCCTCTACGACACACTGACCGGGGTGCCCATTTTGGTAAGAAATACCCCTTCCTCCTCTTTTCCATTGTCCTAGAGCAGTGCTATGGGGTGTTAGGGGAGGGGTAGTACCTCTGGTGGGTGGCATCTTATCTGTCTCCTTCTGGCAACTCCTGCAGACAAGCTTGTACCAAACCTATTGCTCTGCTTTCCTTTGACCACATCATGCTCCTTTGGGGGTAGTTTGTCCACCTTTGAATTTCAATTTACATTTTATTGTTAAAAAGTGCAATTACGGAAGGGGTGGGGAACCAGCCTCACAGAAGCATGAAGATCGGTAACTGTTATCTCTTTTCTTCCACAGTCTGCGTTAGGAATAAAAACAGTCCAAAAAATAAAAAAAAATAAAAAATAAAAATAAAAAGTGCAATTACGTCTAGCCCTAAATTTGGATAAGAGCTTAATATAAGGTCACACACATAGCTATTTGGTTATAGTTTATTATGTCAAAAGTTGACACAGCACAGAGGTTATCTAAGGGTACTTGAGGAATTTGGTCTCAACCTCATTGTAAAATACACCCTTTCAAGAGCACCAGATTAATTTCACCCCAATTTCCATTTAGAGGGTCATTCCTTTGTGGGTACTGATCACGTATACCACTCTAAAGGTTGTGAAACAATTTCCACCATAACTCTTTGTCTGAAACATCCTCATACCTGTGTCTGAAAGATTCACCTTAGGGCTCAAATGTTCCATTTTGACTCTTCACCATTAAAAAAAAATACTGTTACATAAAAAGAAAAACTTTTTCAGTTTGCCCACCTTTGGTTCTCCTCCTTACTCTCTCACCTGTGGCTCCTAGAAGCTGCTAGCATGCTAGAGTGGCCACACCCCAGGAGTGGCTTCGATTGGCCGGCTAAACCAGGTGAGGGTAGCCAATGGGTCTCAAACCCTTAGTGAGTTAGGGACTTTGCCTGCATGTGAAGACTGGCCTCAGCAGATTGAGTGGATGAGAACAATAGTGGATCCAAAGGTCAAGAAAGCGGTTACTGTACGTGCTGTAAAGGAAAATGAGGGGCCGATGGGGCTCATCAACCTGGGAAGGTAGCCCATCTAGGAGAAGGAAACTCTGATCCTAAACCTCCACTGCTTTGGGGAATAACTTTGGCTGAAGAAAAGGCTAAGGAGTAAACCCTACACTGATCCCCTAAGCCAGTTGGATGGCATCTTATATGTCTCCTTCTGGCAACTCCTGCAGACAAGCTTGTACCAAACCTATTGCTCTGCTTTCCTTTGACCACATAAGTGAGTCTGAGAAGGGGGTCTTGCCATACGCATAGCCCAGGACCTCCATATGCACCACCCAAGCTTGCACCCCCTGGAGGTCACTTCAGTTTGACTTCACCCCTGGAGGTACACTCCATTGTCTCTTGAGACAGACAGATGCTAACATTAGTTTCCTGAACCTTTGGACCTTTAGGAAACACTTTCTGCACTGACATGTTTGCAATGAACCTTTGAGACTCCAACATGGGCTCCCTGTATTTTGCAGAGGATTTGGGGACATAACTCATGTGGCCAAGTCTCTTAGCCCTCCCCATTGCAATGTGTCCACTAGAATTCACCCCAAAACACTCCACTGCATCTAAGGGTCTCAGGAGAAGATCAGAAGCGATGCACAGGGTGTTTTCAGAGAACCCTGCTTGCCATTATCGATCACCTCACTGAGGAACCCCCAGTTAGCTTCCAAGGAACATCAGTATTCCCTGAAACATAGCTTGAAAACCACAGTTTTAGAAAGTCAACAACCTCTCTGCCTCATTTTAGAGAGAAAAATGAGCATAGTTCGACAGAGGCATTGTTGGCCTTGATGTAAAGGTAAAGGGACCCCTGACTGTTAGGTCCAGTCGGGGACAACTCTGGAGTTGTGGCGGTCATCTCGCCCTTCCAGCTGCCATTGGTTTAGCTGCTCTGAAGTCACAGAGCACCTTGGCAGTGTAGGGTCTGGCAGATTTGTTTTTGTTTTGGCAAGCCTACCAAGACATTTCATTTACCTGCTTATACATTATTATTATTTTTTTAAAAAATATCTGTTCATGTTCTTAAAGTTAAAGGTAAAGGGACCCCTAACAGTTAAGTCCAGTCGCAGACGACTCTGGGGTTGTGGTGGTCATCTCGCTTTACAGGCCAAGGGAGCCAACATTTGTCCACAGACAGTTTTTTCAGGTCACGTGGCCAGCATGACTAAGCCGCTTCTGGCAAACCAGAGCAACACACGGAAACACTGTTTACCTTCCCGCCGGAGCGGTACCTATTTATCTACTTGCACTTTGATGTGCTTTCGAACTGCTAGGTTGGCAGGAGCAGGGACCGAGCAATGGGAGCTCACCCCATCACGGGTATTCGAACCGCCAAACTTCTGATCAGCAAGCCCTAGGCTCTGTGGTTTAGACCTTGATGTACGCACACAATTATTGTGTCCCGCCATTGCCTCTGATCAAACAGGTTTAGGGGGATTTTGAAGAACTGAAGAAATTTACAAAAACAGCTTACCAAAGACAAGAGTGAGATGCGTACACCACGAGGCGCAGTGCATGTGCTGTTTTGCTTTAAAAACTGGAGAAAACCATCTGTTTCCAGCCTCAGGTTGCATTTATATACTCCTCCAACTAGCCTCTAGAGGGCATAATCTCTGTCCTGGCTCCCCAGTTCCTGTTAGGATTGGCAGATCAAAAGAACTTTTAAGAAAGGAGCAAACACATACACATAAAGAGATGCTATTTTCTGAAACGTGGGCCTTTGATATTTTGAAATAACGTTATCTTGAAACAACAGGCAGCCTAAAGGACTTGTGGATTATATCATAGGTACCTAAACTATTTCCCCCCCACCTGTTCAGCTTCTCTGAGCTTTGATGTCCATCTCTTTTGGCACCCCTTGACAAATTAACTTACATGCTTCGGTGACTGCACACACATCACACACAGCCATGCAATCTCTGTCCTCAGGCCCCATCTACTGGACCTGCAGAGTGTACCAAGCAGGCACCAAGTGTCGTAGTTCGGCTACGGAAGGAGCCTGTTGTACATTAGCAAAATGCAAAGCTGGTGCTAGACTTTAGGGGGCGTTGGCACAGGGGTTGTCAGTAGGCCTCCCAGCCAGGGGAAGACCTATCTGTAGTCTTAGAATCATAGAATCATAGAGTTGGAAGAGACCACAAGGGCCATCGAGTCCAACCCCCTGCCAGTAGTCTTGGTCCTACTGGAACTGTAGTTCCATAAATATATATATAGATGTTATGGCTGTATAGGCTGGGGTACTGCATTTCTGGTATAATTAAACACGCTGAGCAGCCACTAAAGATGGGAGCCGAGTTTGGCTTCCATTTGAAAGTGGCAGCGCTGCCTGCCCGGCACTGAAATCACCTCTGGAGGCCTGGTGAGAAGGATCAGTGCCGGATTTACGTATAAGCTAAACAAGCTATAGCTTAGGGCCCCACTCTCTTGGGGGCCCCCAAAAAATTTAAAGGGAAAAAACCCTGGATGTACATTTCCAAAATATAAGATAAAAAACAAATTAAATAAAACCTACATAAGCAACAGTGCTTTGTGTTGTGTAGGCTCCTATGATGTAAGTCATGGGCCCCGCCTGCTAGCCTGCTCCCTAAAATATCACTGGTTTGCTCATTTCTATATATATGGTGCCTACATTCTGCAAAGGGATGCGGGTGGCGCTGTGGTCTAAACCGCTGAGCCTCTTGGGCTTGCCGATCAGAAGGTTGGCGGTTCGAATCCCCGCAACGGGGTGAGCTCCCATTGCTCTGTCCCTGCTCCTGCCAACCTAACAGTTCAAAAGCATGCCCAAAAAAAAAAAAGTGCAAGCAGATAAATAGGTGCCACTCCAGTGGGAAGGTAAACGGCATTTCCATGCGCTGCTCTGGTTTCGGTGTTCCATGCGCCAGAAGCGGCTTAGTCATGCTGGCCACATGACCCGGAAAAACTGTCTGCGCACAAACGCCAGCTCCCTTGGCCTATAAAGCGAGATGAGCGCCGCAACCCCAGAGTCGTTCACGACTGGACTTAACTGTCAGGGGTCCTTTGCCTTTACCTTTTTTTAAATTCTGCATGTGCAAATGGCTTTAGATACCTATTAGGTCCATAAATTTCCATATAGCATATATTCAACACACAAAAAACAGCAATGATTTGTTGTTGACAAGGACAGCTGGACATATTGTTGTTGTTTAGTCGTTTAGTCGTGTCCGACTCTTCGTGACCCCATGGACTAGAGCAGACATATAAAGGGCCCCATTACCTTCAGGAGCTGAGGGCCTCATCCAACCTAAATCTGGCCCTGGGAAGGATGCTAAGTGGCCGCACAGCAGGGCCCTTTGGAGCTCCTGGGGCCCTTGGCCAATGCCCAAGCCAGCTGACCTTTGGCACCAGGCCTGACACAAGGCATGGGGTGTGTGGAGGGAAAGCCCTTTATAGTACAAGCAGCACTGGGGATGCAAGGACAGGCAACTGGGGTGAGAGATTCTGGAGGGTGCTTGTCTAGTGGAAGATAGGTCGGTGTGTGCTAGAATTAGAGGGTGCCCTGACCTAAGTTGTGGCCCCATGAGCAGCACTTTCCTCTATATAAGTGAATGGGAACTATTGTTTGGAATGATGTAAAGAGGCGTATCCCATGAGGCACCACTGGGCGGGCGCTAAACCTGCCTTGGTGACTTCAGTCATCTGGGCAAGAGGTGAGTTCGACCTGCTCTCAAATATATCCCATTGGAGGCTGAGCCTCACTTATTTGCATTGCCCGATGGCCTTCATAGGTACAGCTCCGTTAGGAGTTGGTTCTTTCCTTTTCTGGGGAGTGTGATCAAAACTTGTGTGGATGCGCTTCTAAGATACAAACATGCATTGCAATAATGCTTTCAACATGAAAATAAATAAATAAATAAATAAATAAATAAATAAATAAAGCAAGCATCAAGGTAGAAAATCAGTTTTGCAACGTTTGCCCTCAGATACTTTTTCAGAAGTCCTGACCTTTCAGAGCAAACCAGAATTGCATTTTCCTTTTCATAAAATGTTCTCTCGGGTCCCTGTTGAGTGGGTATAAAGCCCAGAACTGCTTCTCTAGCCGGTGTTCTGGGGGCAGCAGGAACATGTGGAGTATGACTGTTCATGAGAGTGGCAGGAAGAGACAGGACTGCAGTTGTTAGTTTCAGTAAAGGTCCCTAGAATCCTTGTCAGTTTCAAGCAGAGTTCATGCCCCTGGAGTTTTGTTTTCCCACCCATGGATGTACATTCCAGCAATGGAGAGGGGAAAACAGAGCTTCTAATGATGTTTTCTCTCTCTCTTAAGTAGCAGAAACTATTAGCAAATCTAAGAGCACTACTGGGGCACATGGTTTCTAGGGCTTAGCAGTTAGAATATCTACAATTGTCTGGCACAGTAGCAGAATATATGGACTGCAAATTAAAACACATACACATACATTTTAAATAAAAAGACAACAAAGGTCTGGGGACGTGAATTTTGATGCACTACTTTGGTAACATTTGTGTAACCACATTCCACACCTAGTTTGTGATTTAGAATGGTGGAGTTGCTGAAAATCGTAGTTTCCCAAAGACAGGGGTCAGCAAACGTTTTCAGCCATGAGTGGGTCCTCCATCCCTCAGACTTTGTGGGGGGCTAGACTATATTTTGGAGGGGGAAAATGAACAAATTCCTATGCCCTACGAATAACCCAGAGATGCATTTTAAATAAAAGGACACATTCTACTCATGTAAAAACACACTGATTCCCGGACCGTCCACGGGCCGGATTGAGAAGGCAATTGGGCCTTAGTTTGCCTACCCATGCCCAAAGACAAAGTCCAGATCAGCCATTGCTCTTTACATTATTCTAGCAACGATTAGCATTTGTTTGTTTTTAAAGTGCTGTGTTAGTGCTTGTTTGCGATGAATCAAGTTGCCTGACACTTGCCATGAGCGGAAGCTGAAATGCTGCGAGTCAGCATTCAACTCATTGATCTGATTGCACCGAGGTGCACAAATTCAGTTCCTCCTGTGGTGAACTAGTTGAATGAGCTTTTTGCAGTGAGCACCAGGCACAGAATAAAGTCTCTGCTGTGAGTGAGGCAGGTATGCGAACTAGCTCACAAGTTACAATGCTTCCATTAATGTTAGGAATGACTCCCATGTTAATGCAGGAGCTTTGCCAAAAATATTTCACTTTCAGCTACCAACTGCGTTTTGCAGGCAGCTTTCACAGCCTAGAGACACCCTCTCACACAGCCCAAATAGAAGTTAAGGGAAACTCTCAACAACGGCCATGGAAAATTAGTGTAGAAATCAGAGAGTTTAAATGCTGCTCTGTTGGGTGGGAGACTCCACCATCTTTTCAGCAGCCCCAGTAAACCCCAATATGCATTTTCCCAGTTTACTTTAGAACATATAGAATTCTCATCAGGGCCAGTCCACCGACGAGGCAAGGCTGCCTCAGGTGGCAGGAACCATAGTGGCAGCAGATCTGGCCTCCAAGGAATGCATTACCCACTGTTGCTGGTTCCCAGATTCCCAATGTGATCTTTACTCACCCTTCTTCCATGCCCCCCCCTTACATTTTGTAGTTTGACTCAGGTGTGTCAATTTATTGAGCCGGCCCTGATTTCAGTGTAATTTATATGCCAAGAAGCATACCTTCGGTATACCTGAAGGAGCGTCTCCACCCCCATCGTTCTGCCCAGATGCTGAGGTCAAGCGCTGAGGGCCTTCTGGTGGTTCCCTCCCTGCGAGAAGCAAAGCTACAGGGAACCAGGCAGAAGGCCTTCTCGGTAGTGGCGCCTGCCCTGTGGAACGCCCTCCCTTCAGATGTCAAAGAGAACAACAACTACCAGACTTTTAGAAGACATCTGAAGGCAGCCCTGTTCAGGGAAGTTTTTAATGTATGACATATTAGTGTATTTTTGGTCTTTGTGGAAGCTGCCCAGAGTGGCTGGGGAAACCCAGCCAGATGGGCAGGGTACAAATAATAAATTATTATTATATTATTATTATAAGCAAAAAAATGTTAACAAACATCACACTTATGAAATGATACACCATGAAGCAAAACAAACCTCTCTTTAATCTGCTCCAAAACTACCATCAATTAACTCAATATTATTTACGAATACAGTGGTACCTCGGGTTAAGTACTTAATTTGTTCCAGAGGTCCATTCTTAACCTGAAACTGTTCTTAACCTGAAGCACCACTTTAGCTAACGGAGCCTCTCGCTGCTGCCGCGCCGCTGGAACACAATTACTGTTCTCATGCTGAAGCAAAGTTCTTAACCTGAAGCACTATTTCTGGGTTAGCGGAGTCTGTAACCTGAAGCGTCTGTAACCTGAAGCATATGTAACCTGAGGTACCACTGTATGGTGGTACCTCAGTTTATGAACTTAATCTGTTCCGGAAGTGCATTCTTAAACCGAAACTGTTCTTAAACTGAGGCACGCTTTCCCTAATGAGGCCTCCCGCCACTGGTGCCCTTCCACCGTTCGGATTCCGTTCTTAGACCGAGGTAAAGTTTGCAAACCGGGACACTACTTCTGGTTTTGCAGAGTTCGTAAACCGAATTGTTCGTAAACAGGGCTGTTCTTAAACCGAGGTACCACTGTATTAGCTTTGTCTGGTACATTCCGTAACATAGTTCACATGATTTAACATAATGGAATGGATAAATGAGCAAGATTATGCAAGCAATTGTTTATTTATAGTGGCATTATTTACTGTATTTTTCCGTGCATAAGACTAGCTTTTTTTTACAAAAAAATAAGGTTTAAAATTGGGGCTCGTCTTGTACACGGGTAGTGCTGAGGGGTGCTTTCTTAATTTGGAGTCCCCCAAAACAGGGGGCATCTTATACATGTGGGCATCTTATACACGAAAATATACGGTATTTGCACATTCAAAACACAAGTCAATATTTTTTTAAGCGAGTGAGTGGCTTTCCATTTCTATTGCTTCTAAAAATGATCACTGCTTGTTACATGCAAACAAACAAACAAATGTACAAAATACACAGAAGCCAGAGAGGGCTTCTATTTCTCCTATGTAGTTTACTTTCCCATGCCTGAAAACAATGATGCTTAAAACACTTTGCAAAGGCGTGGAAGAAAGGAAGCATATATGTGTGGAAATGTCAAGTCGTGTGACATAATGTAAACCACTTATGTGAATGATGGTGAGGAACATGGCGCACGAGCCTAATGCGCATATGAAGCTGAGTTATTTGATGAGTGTGTGGGAGAGGGTTAAGCAGCAAGGCCAGGGCCAGCTCAAGACATTTTGCCGCCTGAGGTGAACTGCAAAATGGTGACACACACACACACACACACAACCGCCGGGGAAGAAGGGATGAATGAAGATCTGTATCAGGAACAAGGGGGGAATGAAGATTTACACCAGGATCTGCTGCCCCAGTGGATCTTGCTGCCTGAGGCAGTTGCCTCACCTTGTCTCATGAGTGGGCTGGACCTGAGGAAGACATTTTGCTTTAAACTACATTATTTAGTTGGGGCATGTACAGAAAATTCCTGTACACTAACTTTGCGGTGGGACGGGGGGATATATCAAGTATTATAGGGACCACTTGCTGGTAGGTAGCGTTGGGCATTAAATGCTACAGTGCAGCAGTGTTGCTGCTTGGGTAAATGTAAACATCATGAACTGTGATTGCTCTTTCTTCAGCTTTTCTTCTGTGTGTATTCTGTATGTATAAGTCTGTCTCCAGACTTAGCTGTGAATGTTGTTGTTTAGTCGTTTAGTCGTGTCCGACTCTTCGTGACCCCATGGACCAGAGCACGCCTGGCACTCCTGTCTTCCACTGCCTCCCGCAGTTTGGTCAAACTCATGCTGGTAGCTTCAAGAACACTGTCCAACCATCTCGTCCTCTGTCGTCCCCTTCTCCTTGTGCCCTCCATCTTTCCCAACATCAGGGTCTTTTCCAGGGAGTCTTCTCTTCTCATGAGGTGGCCAAAGTCTTGGAGCCTCGGCTTCAGGATCTGTCCTTCCAGTGAGCACTCAGGGCTGATTTCACTCAGAATGGAGAGGTTTGATCTTCTTGCAGTCCATGGGACTCTCAAGAGTCTCCTCCAGCACCATAATTCAAAAGCATCCATTCTTTGGCGATCAGCCTTCTTTATGGTCCAGCTCTCACTTCCATACATCACTATAGCTGTGAATAGGAAGCCTGATGGTGGAATGTTACTCACAATGTCCCCGTCCTCCTTTCCTTTCTGATTGCAGGTGGTGAGCTTCTTCAGCCTGCGCTACGACACGGCTCCCACCTGGATGGTGCTGGCTGTGCTCTGGTGCTCCATGGTGCAGACGCTGCTCTTGCCATCCTTCATCTGGTCCTGCGAACGCTACCGGGCCGACGTCCGGACTGTGTGGGAGCAATGTGTGGCAATAATGTCAGAGGAAGACGGGGAAGACGGTGAGCTGCTCCAATCCCATGTTCTCTCTACGCTAGAGGAGGCTCTGTGTATTTCCTTCCTTCCTTCCTTCCTTCCTTCCTTCCTTCTTTCTTTCTTTCCTCCTTCCTTCCTTCCTTCCTTCCTTCCTTCCTTCCTTCCTCCTTTCTTTCTTTCTTTCTTTCTTTCTTTCTTTCTTTCTTCAGCTATGGCTGGGTTTCCCCCCCTCATTTTCATTCTTTTATTTATCTTTTATACATTTATTTACATTTTATACATTCTTTCTTTAAAAATTATTATTGAAAAAGTAATAATCATAAATAAATAAGAATAAAAATGCGCATCCCACCCCCGAGACCATTCCATTGTAATTATCCAACCTCCCCAAATTTCAACACCTCTTTTGATGGTTTGACCCCTTTCCCTTTTAACAGTACAAATTCTACAAATACCTCCCATATCTCCTCAAAATCATTTCTCCTGCATGTTCCCCATCTTGCCTTAATAGCACATGTTAATTTCTCATTAATTGCTATATCCCACACCTCTTTATACCATTCTTCCATTTTATATTCTGCTTGCCCCTTCCACTTCCTGGCTATAATAATTCGTGCAGCTGTCAATAAATTTATGAGCAAGTCCTTCATAGCCTGCGAACCTTCCACCCCATCGTAAATTGATAATCATGCTACTTCAGGACTTTTGGTCACCTTTAACCCAGTGATTTCATTTATCTCCTTAAACATCTTTTGTGTTCTTTCTTTCTGCATTCTCTCTCTATAGCTGGAGGAAGTGGCAAAACTCTGGAGAGGGTGGGGATGGAAAAAGAACAATGGACAACGCTTTGTGGGATCTGCAGCTGGAATTGGGGGCAAATTAGTGAGAAGATCTATGACTGAATTTCCTATATTTGTTTGCATTTTGAAAAATAAACACAGGCATGAGTGGGGCTGCAGAAATGAGGGTTCAGGGGTTTATCCTCCCCCTCCCTGCACATTTTCCCCAATCTAAATCCCCACGGTGGAAAACATACAGATACCATATCGTCCCCCCCCCCATTGCAGCTACATCTACCTTTTTCAAAACAGCATAGATCTGATCACAGATCATCCAGCGTCGCAGCCAATCTAGTCCCTAGCTAATGGAAGATGGTTAGAACAAAATGGGTTCATCTTCTAGATGAGCCAGAATTGGTGTTAGTTAAATTGGTGTTCGCTCATGGTGATTGCATCAGCTGCTGTTGAAATACTAGAAAAACGGCATTAAAAGCATCAAGCAGTTTTAACAGCAGTAGGTATAGGCAGATAAAACTGGATGTATCGAGGCAAAGGAAAAAATTGTGTTTGCAGAGGTTTTCTTCTTGAGGGGCTACTATCATATCACCAAAAAAGGGAAATGCATCACAAAAAGAGGCAAAAGAGGACACAGATTTGCAATGTTATTTTTTGTATATTAGCTTACATAAGGTAAAGAGTAAAGGGACCCCTGACCATTAGGTCCAGTCGTGGCCGACTCTGGGGTTGCGGTGCTCATCTCGCTTTACTGGCCGAGGGAGCCAGCGTACAGCTTCCGGGTCATGTGGCCAGCATGACTAAGCCGCTTCTGGCAAACCAGAGCAGCGCACGGAAACGCCGTTTACCTTCCCGCCGGAGCGGTACCTATTTATCTACTTGCACTTTGACGTGCTTTCAAACTGCTAGGTTGGCAGGAGCAGGGACCAAGCAACGGGAGCTCACCCCGTCGCAGGGATTCGAACCACCGACCTTCTGATCGGCAAGCCCTAGGCTCTGTGATTTAACCCACAGCGCCACCCGCGTCCCATTAGCTTACATAGATTGATGCAAATTTGGAAGTAGTTACTATAATTTGAAAAGAAATACAGTGTGGTGCATGGTAGGGAAGGCTGTGAGCAGGTAAGCTGTGTCCCTGTCTGCTGCTCTCCCTTCCCAGAGTTTATTATCTTTAAAACCATGGGTCAGATTATATCACTTGACCTCTCAGTGGACCAACTAGGAGATAAAGGCTTTGAACCTGTCTTCATTATTTAAAATGAATATAAAAGTGAAGAGTCATGTAAGAGACAAACAACAGACACAGGTGTAAGTCTGGTTTTTCATTACAGACATATACTCCCAACACACTGCATAACGGGTCGGCCATCAGTTTTGCCCTTACTCTCATGTATCACATTTTTGTTTTAAAGTAGCACATGTACATTCATTTGTTTATATCTCCACTCATCATCTTAGGAAAACAATCACATTTCTTTCTTTCTTTCTTTTTTAAAAACCTGTTGCAACATTGCTGAATTTTGTTTCCAGACTGAAACTTTCATGATGCAGGCTGGATGTTACTTCAGTCACTCTCACCATCTTTGTAGAAAAGTGCTTTCAAAGCTTATTCCAGTTGAGAAATGTGTGTGTTTAAACTTAATAGGATAAGGCCACTTTTAAACACCCCCCACCAAACTAAAAAAGTTGGCTCTGCCTTTAAACGTAAGACGGTCCGTTTCCTCTTACTTAAACAGTGATTCCTAGAATTTTTTTGGGGGGGGGGAGGGAGGGGGAATTAAGTACATTGCATTGCGCATCCCAATGCTCCTAAGTAACATACCCAATGACTATGGCATCCCTGTCCAAAATCCAGGTGGTGTTTCCTTTAAAAGCACCAACAGAAGTGACAGTGGATTCACACCATCACTGTGGTACGGTCAAATCCACACGGGTTTTCCTTGTGCACATAGTCAACTAGAAATGGCAAGCTATTTCCCATAAGCGCAGAATACAAGCAAGGCTGCATTGTGGGAAACTTGACATCCAAGCCCAGCTCATTACAGGCTTGCGGCAATAGATGCCACAGTCGTGACGAACCGCTTAGAAAACCAGCTCGCCACAAATGAACACTCTAGCCTCCTCAAAGCGCAAGAATCCAGATGTTCCACGCCTGCATAGGTCTGCCTTCTGTCTGTTTGAGGTGGGGAACAAGGAGGAGGAGCGAAAATGTGGCAAAGACATTCTTGTCGTCCTCTAGATGGCACTGGTGACGATTACGGTGACGGGAGGATCTGCAAAGTGCGATTCGATGCCAATGGTGCTGCATCTATGAAACGGGATCCCAGGGATGCTAAGCTGCTGCCAGTGCATCACATGCTGTTGCCCCATGACAGAGTGCACTACCTGCAGGTAGGCAGTCCCCTTCTTCGGGGTGCGAGGGTTTGGCTGCCAGTCTGGGACATGAGCAGATCACGCCTGCCAACATTTGAAATGTACAAACCAACATTCTGTTTATTTAACACATTTATGGGACTGGGACCACATAACACCGGTCCTGAGAGATCTGCATTGGCTCCCAGTACGTTTCCAAGCACAATTCAAAGTGTTGGTGCTGACCTTTAAAGCCCTAAACGGCCTCGGTCCAGTATACCTGAAGGAGCGTCTCCACCCCCATCATTTAGTCCAGACACTGAGATCCAGCGCCAAGGGCCTTCTGGCGGTTCCCTCATTGCGAGAAGTGAGGTTACAGGGAACCAGACAGAGGGCCTTCTCGGTAGTGGCGCCCACCCTGTGGAACACCCTCCCTTCAGATGTGAAGGAAATAAGCAGCTATCCTATCTTTAAAAGATATCTGAAGGCAGCCCTGTTCAGGGAAGTTTTTAATATTTAATGCTGTACTGTTTTTAACATTTGATTGGGAGCCGCCCACAGTGGCTGGGGAAACTCAGCCAGATGGGTGGGGTATAAATAATAAATTATTATTATTATTATTATTATTATTATTATTATTATTATCACGTTGCTCACTGAAAATTTTCTCTGTGCATGATGTTGCCTTGAACTGGATCCACCACGCAGAGGCAGATGGTTTCCTTAGCCCTCTTCCCTGAGATGCTAGGGAGCAGAACTTCCGCATGCAAGCAGACCCACCCAGAATTGAAAAGGGAGAAGGTTTGGACTTACCCAAGAGTATGGGGTGTTAGGGAAGGGGCACCCCCCTCTGGTGGGGGACACATCATGCCCCTTCTGGGGTAGTTTGTCCACCTTTGGTCCTCACCCTGCATTCAGCCCTCCTAGAAGTGGCTCCTAGATGCCATCAGCATGCAACAGCAGCCACACCCCGGGAAATGGCTTTGATGGACTGGCTAAACCAGGTGAGGGTAGCTGGTGAGTTAGGGACTTCCCCTGCATGCAAAGACAGGCACTGACATATTAAGCGGACAGGATCCATAGTGGGTCAACTGCACTATCAACTGCAGGTCATAATACAGTGGTACCTCTGGATGCGAACGGGATCCGTTCTGGAGCCCCGTTCGCATCCAGAGCAGAACGCAACCCGCATATGCGCGGGTCGCCGCTTCTGCGCATGCGTGTGACGTCATTTTGAGCATCTGCACGTGCGCGAGTGGTGAAACCCAGAAGTAACGCGTTCTGTTACTTCTGGGTTGCCATGGAGCACAACCTGAAAACGCTCAACCTGAAGCGACTTTAACCAAGGTATGAGTGTAGTGTGCAGTCCACACGTTACCTGGTCTGTGTGTGTACCCACAAATGGTGGGGATACCATTGTTTCTGGGTGCACCCCAGGGGAAAAAACCAGCGTGGAGATTTATGTAGGGGTGAACATTTGAGGGAGAGCTGAGAGATCGCTTTGCTTTAGGAGTGTAAGGACAGCCTTATTGTCCCCTTCTCTCCTTAGAAAACAGAGCAATGTAACTGATCTGTAGAAAAGACTTCACAGCATGAAAAAAGAGACAATGCACATATGTTTGTAGATCAAGAAGATCTTTACGAAAAAATATTTTTTAAAAAGAAAAACAGAACAAGGATGAACTGAGCAGCTAAAAGGTACTCCAGACTCTCCCACCAACACAATTCAGGACCACGAATCTGTGTTAGTAGAACACTTGGGTTTTCTTTCTCTGTCTTGGAAGTTTTGTAGCCCCAAAAAGCACATAAAGTAGAACAAAACTAGAAAAGCCAGGGGGAGAGGTGTGTGTCACATTTTCTTTACAAAGTGGTGTTACGGGGCAGGTGTGTGTTGCTCACTAAGACTCACATACCCAAAACATTTCTATGAAATTGCATAGCTGCAGAACTCGAGGAAAATGCATCAGAAATAGTGGCACTATGTAAAGGTAAAGGGACTCCTGACCATTAGGTCCAGTCGTGGCCGACTCTGGGGTTGCGGCGCTCATCTCGCTTTATTGGCCGAGGGAGCCGGCATACAGCTTTCGGGTCATGTGGCCAGCATGACTAAGCCGCTTCTGGTGAACCAGAGCAGCGCATGGAAACGCCGTTTACTTTCCCGCCAGAGTGGTACCTATTTATCTACTTGCACTTGGACGTGCTTTCGAACGGCTAGGTTGGCAGGAGCAGGGACCGAGCAACAGGAGCTCACCCCGTCGCTGGGATTCGAACCGCCGACCTTCTGATCGGCAAGTCCTAGGCTCTGTGTTGTGTTTTCTCTTTCTATATATATATATTTGCCATTGGACCTACCCAGTGCTATTTTTCTAGAAAAAGAGGTGCTGGAACTCACTATGAACACTTCCCTTGTTCTCTTATAATGGCAATAGCACCCACCTGAGAGGGAAAAACCCTATATATTGCACGCCGTCCAACCTCCTTCCCCGCTGTCTCTCACCTCCTTCTTTCCTCCCAGGTCCCTCTCTCCCGGAGGATGTCCCACGACGAAACCAACATCTTCTCCTCCCACCGCTCCTCGCCTTCCTTCCTCCACAAGTGGTCCTCATCCGATGACATCCGCGTGCCTACCCCTCACAAACATGGAGGCGTCCCCAGCTTCCTGCTGCCGGAGCTCCGCAGCTACCATCACCACCACCGGCGCCACCGGCCTCCCGAAGACGAGTTCACCACGCTCCGGCAGTTCCTGGAAGCCGGGCTGGTGTCCCGGGGACCTGCCTCGGGGTCTAGCGTCTGCTTCTTCCGCGACGAAATCACCACCTTCATCGACGAGACGCCGGTGCCGTCCCCGCACAGCAGCCCGCGCCACTCGCGCCTGCCGCTGGCGGCGCAGCAGGAGAGGCGCCACTCTCTGGATGGCACTGAGCAGGAAGACGGCCCTGAGAAGGATCGGCGGTGTTCACTGACTGGTGGGGAAAACCTATACCTCTACAGCGGAGAACAGGAGCCCGGGATACGGACCTTGGGAGCTCAGGAAGCGCGGGGTTTCCAGGAGCTCGGCCTATGAAACGGCGGCGAAAGCATTTGCTGGGCTCTGGATTTTTAAGCAAAACTCGACGTGTCTCCCCAGGACCCAAGGGGTGTTTTTAGGTCCTTGTGTTTCTCACCATGTTGGCAGAGGAGGGGGGGTGCCCACGGCGGGGTCCTGATGTGGTGGGGAAGGAGAAGCGGCTTTGTTCGAAGGAGCCACGGAGCCCTGCGTCCAGGTGGCAAAACGTGAGCACAGACCACCGCAATTCACTGGAGGGCACTTTTTCTCCAGTTCCACCCCCTCAGTAGCATTGTTAGTGCCACACGCCCCTCCCTTTTCTTAGCTCCACCCATTATGAGAAACGCTTGTCGTCGGCTGCCAAGTGTGGGACAGGAAGGTATTAAAAAGAAATCTATATTTGGAGTGTCACCTGTGCCTGGCTTTTTCTTCTTAAAGTGTGTTCACAATGTTTGTGGTTTGGGCATGCATTTATCTGGGACTAAGCCCCACTGAAAACAATTGAGACTTACTTCTGAGTACAGTGGTACCTCGGGTTACATATGCTTCAGGTTACATACGCTTCAGGTTACAGACTCCACTAACCCAGAAATAGTCTTTAAGGTTAAGAACTTTGCTTCAGGATGAGAACAGAAATCGTGCCCGGCGGAGGCAGGAGGCCCCATTAGCTAAAGTGGTGCTTCAGATTAAGAACAGTTTCAGGTTAAGTACAGACCTCCGGAACGAATTAAGTACCGTATTTTTCACTCCGTAAGACGCACTTTCCCCCTCCTAAAAAGTAAGGGGAAATGTGTGTGCGTCTTATGGAGCGAATGCAGGGGGGAGGCAGGCAGGAAAAGCCCCCAAGAGCCGCACACAAGCTCCGTGCAGCTCTTGGGGGCTTTTCCCCAGGAGGGAGAAAGGACTGACATGGCCAGTCAGTCCCTTCTCCCTCCTCGTAGAAAAGCCGCAGGAGCCGCGCACTCCTTAAAGGGTGCGTGGCTCCTGTGGGCTTTTGCGGGAGGTGGGGGTATTGCCATAGCCGCGCGCAGCCTCTCCCAGCTGGAGAGGTTGCGTGCAGCTAAAGAGGAAGCCAAGACAGCCAGCGGGATGGATCCCGCTCGCAGTCTTGGCTTCTTTGCTCTTTGGGGCTGGGGGGGGGGACCCAGGCTTCCCCCAGCAGCCCCAGAAGCTCTGGGAGAAGCGGACAAGATTTTTTTTCTTGATTTCTCCCTCTAAAAACTAGGTGCGCCTTATGGTCCGGTGCGCTTTATGGAGCGAAAAATACGGTACTTAACCTGAGGTGCCACTGTAGATACTACTTAAAGAGACTCAACAGCCAACTGAGAAGAAAGGATTCCAAGACGGAGTGTCCCAGTGCCAAGAGATGACGCATGCATGTAATATTGAGCATGCAGCGCTCAATTTCAAAATGCTCCAGACATGCTATTTCAGTTCTCCTGCGGCAGGCACGCTGTGGTGGGCTGGTAACATCACCCCCCCCCATGATACAGGTGAGTTTGGCTATCTTAACAGAGGTCAAGAAAAAGGATGGAAATCTTCTCCATCACTAGCCATGAGGAAAGCTCGATTTCTCCGTATACAGCCTTTGCAGTGGCGTAGCAAATGTTGCTGGCGCCCAGGGCAAGACAAATATTGCACCCCTTGGGTAGACTGGGCAGCCTTATGCAACTTAGGACCCCAATACCTCAAGAACTGCCTCTCACCACATGAACCAACCCAGACCTGCCGTTCTCCACATGAGGCCCTTCTGCATGTGCCCCCTCAGTGTGATGCAGTGGGTGGCAACACAAGAACTTGCCTTTTCAGTGGTGGCCCCCCCATTTATGCAGTGCTTTCCAGGGAGGCGTGTCTGGTGCCATCGCTAACTGTTTTAGGCACAAGGCAAACACGTTCTTGTTCACCCAGGACTCTGGGTCTTAATTTTAGTGAGGTGATGCAGAGTTGGATCTGTGTGTGTGTGTGTGTGTGTGTGTGTGTATAATTTGTGTATTTTAGGCTGCTTTGCCCTTGTTCCTTACCCCTTTTTAATGTTTTTTGTAAGTTGTTTTGAGCTTCATTTGGAGGGGGGAGTAATTGACACATAAATAGTAATAATCAGCTCAGCCAAAACTTAATTGAGATCAGACAAGCTGTACTTTAGCTCAAACACCTTAGAATATATGAGAGCTCATGCCCTCTTTTAATCCTTAATGTAACATTATCAGATTACTTTGTGCTAGTAATGTCCAATTCTCATTGATTTTAAAGCCAGAGGGAACCATTAGCCTGATGTAGTTTGCCCTCTTACGTAACCCCGACCACAGAAATTCACTCAGCCATTCCTGCACTGAAGCCAGAATTCTTGGAGGAACTGAAATTCCAAATGTATGTATTCTATCAAAGTGTGAGCCATTAGAGTTCTTTAAGACCTCAGACCATTTATTTGAAGCCGATTTCCATTGCTGGCGACTTAATTTTTTATTCTCAAGTGTTTTGAGTTTGTACTGGCTTTCATGCCTATCTTTTTGGAGATATAAAAAGATATCCACCCATAATCACATCACACATTTATTTCACTTAACTCTCAGGCCATTTCAAAACTTCAGGAGCGTCGTACATGTTAAAAAATAAGACCTGTAATACACATTGTCAAAATGTAGCCCCGCCGTCTTAAGGGAAGAAAAGTTTGTTCATCCCGTTTTACTATTTTTAATATATGCCGATCTCGCTTAGGAAGAGCGGGATTTAAATTATTTTCAACATATACTGAGTGTCTGGAGGCGGTTGGAGGATGGATGGCGGCTAACAGATTGATGTTGAATCCTGACAAGACAGAAGTACTGTTTTTGGGGGACAGGAGATGGGCAGGTGTGGAGGATTCCCTGGTCCTGAATGGGGTAACTGTGCCCCTGAAGGACCCGGTGCGCAACCTGTGAGTCATTTTGGACTCACAGCTGTCCATGGAGGCACAGGTCAAATCCATGTCCAGGGCAGCTGTTTACCAGCTCCATCTGGTACGTAGGCTGAGACCCTAGCTGCCTGCGGACTGCCTCGCCAGAGTGGTGCATGCTCTGGTTATCTCCCGCTTAGACTACTGCAATGCGCTCTACGTGGGGCTACCTTTGAAAGTGACCCGGAAACTGCAATTAATCCAGAATGCGGCAGCTAGATTGGTGACTGGGAGTGGCTGCTGAGACCATATAACACCGATCTTGAAAGACCTACATTGGCTCCCAGTATGTTTCTGAGCACAATTCAAAGTGTTGGTGCTGACCTTTAAAGCCCTAAACTGCCTTGGTCCAGTATATCTGAAGGAGCGTCTCCACCCCCATCGTTCTACCGGGACACTGAGGTCCAGCACCGAGGGCCTTCTGGCGGTTCCCTCACTGCGAGGAGCCAAGTTATGGGGAACCAGGCAGAGGGCCTTCTTGGTAGTGGTGCCCTCCCTGTGGAACGCCCTCCCACCAGATGTCAAAGAGAACAACAACAGACTTTTAGAAGACATCTGAAGGCCGCCCTGTTTAGGGAAGCTTTTAATGTTTGATGTATTACATTATTTTAATATTTTTTTGGAAGCCGCCCAGAGTGGCTGGGGAAGCCCAGCCAGATAGGCGGAGTACAAATAAATTATTATTATTATTATTATTATTATTATTATTATTATTATTATACTGTACATACATATGTATATACATCTATACATACACAGTGTGGGGTAGTGGTTAGAGTGGCGGGCTAGGACCTGGGAGGCCCGGGTTCAAATCCGTGCTCAGCCATTGAGCTCACTGGGTGACCTTGGACCAGTCACTGCATCCGCCTAATCCGCCTCACAGGATTGTTGTGGGAATAAAACAAAGGCAGGGAGAACCAGGCATTCCACCTCAAGCTTCTGGGAGGAAAAGTGGAATGCAGATGCAATAAATAAAGGATACACCAGTGTTCCTGGCAATCTGAACAGAAGCTTTGCAATTCTAACTGGTGATTTGAACCTTGGGCCCCATTTCTGTTGGGGAAGGTCAATGTATAAAGTCAATAAATCAACCTGGGTTTCCTCCTCCTCATAGCCCTAGGCTGGCACTTGACACGGACTGGTTGGACACAGAGGAATAGTGGGAGGAACCAGTTGAGAGTCATATCCCAAGGGAAGAAGGTTCAGATCCCAAGAAGTGGTGGTGGGACAACAATGATTGGTCAGAGGGAGAAGACCGGGAGAAGGAGGTCTATGAAGCTGAAGAGGTAACAGGGCTTAGGGAGTGGGGAGACTCTTTGCAGGGACAAGTCCAGAATCAGAGATAGAAGCATAGCTGTCAACTTACAGATTTGAAAATAAGGGACCAGCAGCCTCGAAAATAAGGGATCAGCAGCCAAAATAAGGGATTTTCCAGGCACAGGTATGTTCAACTTCTGAGCCCCTCCGAGCCAAAGGCAGAAAGCCCAGCCAGCAGCCAAACGAAGCCTCAAGCAGTGGTTCCCACAGCGCAGCAACCCGGCAAAGGGGATGCAGCAAGGAAAACCACCGTCACCTCTCTGCTGGGAAGCGCTGAGCAAAGGCGAGTCCCCAGGCAACGCGGCCGATTTGATTGGCACAAGGCATGCAAGCTCCACCCCCCAGTCGTTCTTAGACTCCTTATTGGGTGAGCAACGCAGCCAAGCAACACAGTTGGAGCCTCCCTCCTCCCTGGCCGGCAGGGAGGAAGGGAGAGGAGCTGCTTCCTTTGAAACCCGGGAAATTTAAGGGACATCATCAATAAGGGACAGCAGCGGGACACAGCGCTGGGATAAGGGAGTTTCCCACCAAATAAGGGACGGTTGACAGCTATGGATAGAAGCTGAAGCAGGAGAGGAAAGAGGCCAAGAGGCAGAGATAGGCCCAGCTTGGGAAGAGGCACGGGGGTCTCCCCTTCCTGCTGCGACAAGTTCCCTTCCCCCCTGGTCTCCTAGAACAGGGAGAGGCATGAAAAGGGCAGAGCAGCGGCAGGCGCAGATTCCGATTGCTTGGAAAACACCCTGGAGAGGAGGGGACATCGCCAGCTACAGGAAGGCAGGGACCTTTAGCCTTGGCAACTGCTTCATGAGGGCAAGACCTGAGTTGCTGTGCTCCTCCGGCCTAACACTCCAGTGCAGATCATGTTTTGCTAATAAAGAGTTAACTCCAATGCGCTTGGTGTGATTTACTGCTGGCTTGCTCCTGGCAGCACTCCAGCAGAAGACATTTTGCTTCCCCCAAGCCAAGGTGCATAGTACCCAGGGCCCCCTGCGGTTTTGACCTTGTTGTTGTTGTTTAGTCGTTTAGTCGTGTCCGCCTCTTCGTGACCCCCTGGACCAGAGCACGCCAGGCACTCCTGTCTTCCACTGCCTCCCGCAGTTTGGTTAAACTCATGCTGGTAGCTTTGAGAACACTGTCCAGCCATCTCGTCCTCTGTCGTCCCCTTCTCCTTGTGCCCTCCATCTTTCCCAACATCAGGGTCTTTTCCAGGGAGTCTTCTCTTCTCATGAGGTGGCAAAAGTATTGGAGCCTCAGCTTCAAGATCTGTCCTTCCAGTGAGCACTCAGGGCTGATTTCCTTCAGAATGGAGAGGTTTGATCTTCTTGCAGTCCATGGGACTCTCAAGAGTCTCCTCCAGCACCATAATTCAAAAGCATCAATTCTTTGGCGATCAGCCTTCTTTATGGTCCAGCTCTCACTTCCATACATCACTACTGGGAAAACCATAGCTTTTACTATACGGACCTTTTTTGGCAAGGTGATGTCTCTGCTTTTTAAGATGCTGTTTTGACCTATAAAGCCTTTGACCTATAGGTTTTGACCTATAGAGCCTTAAATGGCCCAGTACCGCAATACATCAAGGATCGCCTCTCCCCATATGAACCAACCCAGGCCTTGCGAACATCATCTGAGGCCCTTCTTTCTATGGTCTGGATGGTGGCAACACGAGAATGAATCTTTTCTGCAGTGGTTCCCCATTTATGGGCTGCTCTACCCAGGGAGGCTTGCCTGGTGCTTTCCTTAAATATAGTTTCTCTTTAACCAGGCCTTTGGCTGGTTAACATTCTATGGTCTTTTAAATATGTTAGTGGGAGGAGAGATCATTGCTTTGTCTTTGTCTTTGTTCTATTATGCATTTTGTGTTCTCATCTGTGATCTTTGGATGAAGGGTGGGACACGAATTTAATAAATAATAATAATCATAGCAGCAGTGAACAGCACAGGGAACTACAGTCAATCAGGGGTGCGAACTTGAATAAAATATTGGGGGGCAGGCATGGACATAGCCAAGATTTATGTGAGGGGGGCAGAATCTCAGTTAATTATTTTTATTTATTTACTTGATGTGGGGCAGCTGCCCCCCATTGGCAGCTATGCCCATGGACCCAGGTAAACCCTGCCCTGCAAAACTGATCACAAGTCACAGTGTGCACACACCATTTGAATGGCAATCCCCATTGACTTGTGGGGGGTGGCCCTCTCAAATATTTTATGGGGGAGCCAAAGGGACCTCGGCCCTAGAAGTTGGCTCTTAAGCACTCAATCATGGCTGGCTGGGAGGCCTGTTGACTGCATTCCTTAATGTACAGGCACTCCTACCATGACGGAAAAATGTGTTGTGTCAAGGTGCCCTGCGGTTATGCGAATCCTGTTAGGGTGCTGGAGGCAAAGCTCTGTGAGGAAGAGAAGCAGAATTTGTTGCTCTCTCTCTCTCTCTCCCTCTGTCTCTTTCTTTCTTTTTTGGCTGGGTTTCTGCATCTATCATCCTTCTGGAAGGCAGAAATCCAGCAGGTGGGGAGGATTTCCTTTCAATAGTGCTGCCGGAACCTTTGCAGTGACTTGAGAGCTTCCATTGGATCCTTGTGATGGATTGCTTTGAAGTGATTTCTGCACCAGGGAAAGGGATTTTTGTTGTTGTTGAGTCATTTAGTCGTGTCTGACTCTTCGTGACCCCCTGGACCAGAGCACGCCAGGCACTCCTGTCTTCCACTGCCTACTGCAGTTTGGTCAAACTCATGCTGGCAGCTTCGAGAACACTGTCCCACCATCTCATCCTCTGTCATCCCCTTCTCCTTGTGCCTGCAATCTTTCCCAACATCAGGGTCTTTTCCAGGGAGTCTTCTCTTCTCATGAGGTGGCCAAAGTATTGGAGCCTCAGCTTCAGGTTCTGTCCTTCCAGGGAGCACTCAGGGCTGATTTCCTTAAGAATGGAGAGGTTTGATTTTCTTGCAGTCCATGGGACTCTCAAGAGTCTCCTCCAGCACCAGAATTCAAAAGCATCAATTCTTTGGCGACCAGCCTTCTTTATGGTCCAGCTCTCACTTCCATACATCACTATTGGGAAAACCAGAGCTTGAACTATACGGACCTTTGTTGGCGAGGTGATTAACCCCCTCCCACACACCTGTCCTCTATTTTGCCTGACCTGTCCTGTATTTTGCCCAACCAAAGGCGGCAACCCTACTTAAAGCACAGGAATTAAGCAGCAAAACGTACTTTATCACCTCCAGGCTAGGGCAGAACCAGCGAGCGCGCGCGCATCCCTCCACCACCGCGCGCCCCACCTTCTTTCCCCGCCGCCACCGCGTCCTTCCCCGGCTTGTTTGGGCCTCCTCTGCCCCTGGGAGGAATTTCCAGCCTCGGGCAGCAGCTCCGGATTACGCATCCCTTCTCCCCGCCTTCCTCTCCCCCTCCGCCAGCAGCGCAGGCCCCTTTCCCAGCCGCCTCCTGCCCGCCCCTTTCGCCCCAACTCCTCGGGCGACGTCTGCAATTTCTCCTCTTCTCCTTTGCCCTCTGTCATGGCTCTCCGCTCGCGCCCTCCTTCCTCCTCCTCCTCGCCCCGCTCCTCGGTCCCCTTCCTCCTCCTCCTCCTCTCCATCCTCCTCTTCCTCTCCTCGCCCTCCTCCGGCCACCTGGCGCCTTACGACGCGCTCTACGCCGACGGGGTGCGCGCCTACTTCGCCCAGGACTGGCCCCGGGCGGCCGAGCTGCTGCAGCGCTGCCTGCACAGCTACTCTGGGCTGCAGGGCGCGCGCCGGGAGTGCCAGGGCGCGTGCCAGTGGCAGGCCGGCTTCTCGGCGGGGCGCCCGCCCTCGCGGCCCTGGGAGACGGGCTTCTTCGAGCGGGTGCTGCAGCGGGCCGAGTGCCTGGAGGAGTGCCTGGGGCGCCGGCTGGGCGGGCAGCCCTCCCTCCACCGGGCCAGCGCGCAGATCCGGCAGGATTTCGAGGAGAGGGAGCCCTACAACTACCTGCAGATCGCCTTCTTCAAGGTGAGGGGCAGGACGGGGCCAAGAGGCGCCCGCAGCTGCTGATGTGGCTGCCTCGCCTGCCCGCCCGCCTGCCTGCCTTTAAAAACTTGGCAAACTTTATTTTTCACTTTCCCAAACTTGGGCTTTCCAGCTGTTTTGGGACTACAACTCCCATCATCCCTAGCTAGCAGGATCAGTGGTCTGGGATGATGGGAATTTATAGAATTATAGAATTGTAGAGTTGCGATGCAGGAATCTCTGCTAAAGCATCCATGGCAGATGGCCAGCCAACCTCTGCTTGAAAACCTCCAAGGAAGGAGAGTCCACAACCACCCCGGGGGAGACCGTTCCACTATTGAACTATCACTGGCAGAAAGTTTTCCTGATGTTTAGTCAGAATCTCCTTTATCGTATCATACTTTGTGGTCTTTACATTAAGAGCAACCATGTGTCGTCGTCTTCTATGGGCAGAAAAATGCCTAGTGCAGTCAAGAAACATTCAGGCTGTGCAGAGTTACTCAGCAAAAAAATAAAAATGTGCAGATGGCCAAAAGCAATTTAAACTGGCAGGTCCTTGGCACTCAGTTCAGAAGTCCTTGTTTATCCGTTTTTTTCTGCTGCTACGTCTACTGCCTTCCAATTCCATGCCTGGGCTGCCTTAGAGCAGAGTTAGCTGCTACACACAAGCATTTCTAAAATGGGGTTATGGGCACAGAACTCAGGATTCCCCCTCCCCTTGCAACATACTTTAGAATCACAGAATCCTGCAATGCAGAAACCTTTTGCCCAGTGTGGTGCTCGAACCTGCGGCCCCGAGATGAAGAGTCTTTGTTGTTGTTGTTTAGTCGTGTCCGCCTCTTCATGCCCCCCTGGACCAGAGTAGGCCAGGCACTCCTGTCTTCCACTGCCTCCCGCAGTTTGGTCAAACCCATGTTGGTAGCTTCGAGAACACTGTCCACCATCTCGTCCTCTGTCGTCCCCTTCTCCTTGTGCCCTCCATCTTTCCCAACATCAGGGTCTTTTCCAGGGAGTCTTCTCTTCTCAGGAGGTGGCCAAAGTCTTGGAGCCTCAGCTTCAGGATCTGTCCTTCCAGTGAGCACTCAGGGCTGATTTCCTTCAGAATGGATGCGTTTGATCTTCTTGCTGTCCATGGGACTCTCAAGAGTCTCCTCCAGCACCATAATTCAAAAGCATCCATTCTTCGGCGATCAGCCTTCTTGATGGTCCAGCTCTCACTTCCATACATCACTACTGGGAAAACCATGGCTTTAACTATATGGACCTTTCTTATGCTGTACCAAGTGAGTGGTGATGGGTGCCTCGTGCCTTCAGGGCAGGCCCTGCCATGAGCCACAGCGAGGTGATTTCCCTTGGGAAACGGATGCTTTCTTCTCTTCAGCTGGCAGAGCTTGGTGTGCCAAACAGCCTGCCCTTCTCTGCCTCAACTCGCCTTCTTCCCTCAGTTGCGATGGTGGAGGATGCTGCGCAATCGCTAGCATGAGAATGCTGCTGCTGACTCTGTAGGGTTCTGCATATGGACCGGGCTGCATATGCACCTCCAGCAACAAAATCCCTTGGCTGGCGATGCTTGTATCCGTGCCAGATTTTTTTCTTTTTCTTTTCTTTTCTTTTTTAAAAAAAACTTTTATTGATAAATGCAATACTTACAAACACAAACCAGAACACTAAACAAACTTATTGTACATTGATACATACATCTCCCAACTTAGATTACAAAAAAGAAAACAAACATACAAACTAAACATACAGACATAAATTTTGACTTTCCTCTACCTATATGTGACTTCCTTTGTTTCTTTTCTTCTTTTCACTGTGTTATCAATATTATTTTTGACTATCTCATCCTATACCCATTTCTTCTTAATTTTTTACTCTATAAGTTTCATTCATTGCGTATTGATATATTAATAGCAGAACAATGCTTTTAGATGTATTCCTTCACTCAAGCCCACTCCTCTATCAGTTTCTGGTCTGATTTGCCTCTTGCCACTGCTGTAAGTCTTGCTGATTCTATATATTCACAAAATTTTATTTGCCATTCACTTATTGAGGGATTTAGGGTATCGCGGACGGTTGCTCCGCACAGGGCGCTGAGCCAAGAGGGCGCAAAATTGAGAAGATTCATTTGGGGGCACCAAATGTTGGCCTCGCTCAGGGAGCCATGTAACCAAAGTCTGCCCCTGCTCATATTTTCCCCTCACAGACTCCAATCATTTGTAATCTGAAATAGGCCTTTGTCCAAATCTTGAAGTTATTGTGTATTGAAGTTATTGTGTTGACAAGAGCTTTAAAACAGGGGAAATGGTGTTCTGCCAGGAACCATTATGAGAGGGGGAAGTAGTCACGGACACACATATACTGTGTTACAGAGGGCAAGTGTTTATTTGACAGGGCTACCTATGATGATAATAATAATAATAATAATAATAATAATAATAATAATAATTTTATTATTTATACCCCGCCCATCTGGCTGGGTTTTCCCAGCCACTCTGGGCGGCTCCCAACAGAACATTAAAAACATAATAAAACATCAAACATTAAAAACTTCCCTAAACAGGGCTGCCTTCAGATGTCTTCTAAAAGTCAGATAGTTGTTTGTTTCCGTGACATTTGATGGGAGGGTGTACCACAGGGTGGGTGCCAATACCAAGAAGGCCCTCTGCCTGGTTCCTTGTAACTTGGCTTCTTGCAGTGAGGGAACTGCCAGAAGGCCCTCGGTGCTGGACCTCAGTGTCCGGGCTGGATGATGAGGGTGGAAACGCTCCTTCAGGTACCTACATTTCCATAGTCTGCATGCTGGGTGGCTTTGTTTTTAAAGCAAAAACCCTTTTTGCTTTTAACAACAAACAAAAGCTGTTCGATAGTGGAATGGGCTGCCTCAAGAGGCTGGGGACTCTTCTTCACTGGAGGTTTTTAAAGCAGCGTTTGGATGTCCATCTGTTGGGGAAGCTTTAGCTGAGGTTCCTAAATTGCATGGGGTTGGGCTAGATGACCCTCGGGGGTCCCTTCCAACTCTACAATTCTATGACATCTCTTTTGACATCTGATAATACTTGTTGTTGTTGTGGTTTAGTTGTTTAGTCGTGTCCGACTCTTCATGACCCCCTGGACCAGAGCACGCCAGGCACTTCTGTCTTCCACTGCCTCCCACAGTTTGGTCAAACTCATGCTGGTAGCTTCGAGAACACTGTCCCACCATCTCGTCCTCTGTCGTCCTCTTCTCCTTGTGCCCTCCATCTTTCCCAACATCAGGGTCTTTTCTTCTCATGAGGTGGCCAAAGTCTTGGACCCTCAGTCTTCTCTTCTCATGAGGTGGCCAAAGTCTTGGAGCCTCAGCTTCAGGATCTGTCCTTCCACTGAGCACTCAGGGCTGATTTCCTTCAGAATGGATAGGTTTGAACTTCTTGCAGTCCATGGGACTCTCAAGAGTCTCCTCCAGCACCATAATTCAAAAGCATCAATTCTTCGGCGATTAGCCTTCTTTATGGTCCAGTTCTCACTTCCATACATCACTACTGGGAAAACCATAGCTTTAACTATACGGACCTTTGTCAGCAAGGTGATGTCTCTGCTTTTTAAGATGCTGTCTAGGTTTGTCATTGCTTTTCTCCCAAGAAGTAGGCGTCTTTTAATTTCGTGATAATACTGTGAGGTATAAAAAAACTGTAACAAATGTTTTTAACTTGCACTGCTTTGTGTGTGTGTTTGTGTGCATGCTATTAAATCTAAGAGCGGGCTTGTCCATGCTCTCTGCCACTTCAGTCTGAGAATGGTGCCCTCGTGGCCCTCATTTTACTTCTAAATGGTACTGTTTTGTTCCTGCAGCTAAAGAAACTCGATGAAGCCGTTTCCTCAGCTCACACGTTCTTCGTGGCCAATCCACAGCACCTACAGATGCGCGAGGACATGGAGAAATACCGGCGCATGGCGGGGGTGAAAGCAGAAAGCTTTCGGGATCTTGAGGCCATGCCACACTGGGTGAGACACTTCTGGGAAACTGGATGTTACTTGGCAGATTAAGGAGGGCTGCTTTGTGAACCCTACTGGGGCCTGTGGGTGGTAAAGAATTCACAGAATCGTAGAGTTGGATGGGACCGCCAGGGTTATGTAGCCCAATCCCCTTGCAATGCAGGAATCTCAACTAGATCTTATGTAACATATGGCCATCTAACCTCTACTTGAAAACCTCCCAAGGATTGAAGGTGGGGGTGCGCCCCCCTTCCCACAGCTACCTGTGGCTCCAGAGGGGATGGTAAGCTGAAAATGGCGCAGAAGGATGTCATGGAATTCTTCTCAATTTGGATCCAGATTCCAATGTATAGTTAAGTAAAGGTAAAGGGACCCCTGACCATTAGGTCCAGTCGTGACCATTAGGTTGCGGTGCTCATCTCACTTTATTGGCCGAGGGAGCCGGCGTACAGCTTCCGGGTCATGTGGCCAGCATGACTAAGCCGCTTCTGGTGAACTAGAGCTGTGCACGGAAACGCTGTTTACCTTCCTGCCAGAGCGGTACCTATTTATCTACTTGCACTGGTGTGCTTTTGAACTGCTAGGTTGGCAGAAGCAGGGACCGAGCAACGGGAGCTCACCCCGTTGCAGGGATTCGAACCGCCAACCTTCTGATCGGCAAGTCCTAGGCTCTGTGGTTTAACCCACAGCGCCACCCGTGTCCCTTAATATATAGTTAGCAGAGTAAAAACTGAAACACGTTGCAGGATTCCCAAAAATTAAACCAGAGGCAATAAATATTTCATCCAGCAGAGCTTTACTGCTACGGAAGGCAAATAAGCATAATGGTCCAATACAGTGGTACCTCTGGATGCGAAACGGATCCGTCCTGGAACCCCATTCGCATCCTGAGTAGAATGTAAGACATGTCTGTGCGTGCGCGGTTCGCGATTTGCCGCTTCCGCTCATGCGCGTGACATCATTTTGAGCGTCTGCTCATGGGCGAGCGTCGAAACCCGGAAGTAATGCGCTCCGTTACTTCCGGGTCACCGCAGAGCGTAACTTGAAAACGCTCAACCTGAAGCACATTTAACCCGAGGTATGACTGTACATTCAGGATTGGCACTGTCCATAAGAAATCCAGTTGCAGCAGACTTAAATTAAACTTATAATAAGTCTAAATCATAACACTATATGCAGAACAGCACACCAGAAGGAAGAGAGATAGAAAGAGAACGTGAACCCCAGGCTCCTCCTGGCCTATTATAGTCAGCATGACCTTGACAGAAGAGATAAGAGAACCAGTTTAAGCCAGCTGTACTCAGCTTCTCTGAAAGTATAACCCAAACACCATGAACCTTCTGCTTGTTTCTTTCACACAGAGAAGCTTCCAGAACCCTCTTGAATTAAGTAGAATAGGAGAGATCTCTACACATCAGATCAATACTTTCTGCACTAAGAAATGCAAACTGACAAGGGAAGTGTTAAAGACCCATTAGACAACTCTTACCATTCCTACATGCTGCTTTTAGGACTTAAAAGATACATCTAGCCATAAACTCCCATGCCTCATGTGGTTTGGCCCTGAGAGCTTAGCCTCTGGTTGCAAAGGCCTGCTGCCACAGCCCCCCCCATCATCATCATCATCATAAAATTTTATTTATATCCCGCCCTCCCCAGCCAAAGTCGGGTTCAGAGCGGCTAACAACAGTAAAATAAATACAACATTCTAATATTATTTCATTATAAAATTAATTCAAATCAGATTAATGGCAACTGTTGGGCTAGAGTTCTGTGAGGATTGCCAAAGGAGGGGATCAGACTGTGCCCTGGCCAAAGGCCTGGTGGAACAGCTCTGTCTTGCAGGCCCTGCGGAAAGATGTCAAGTCCCGCAGGGCCCTGGTCTCTTGTGACAGAGCGTTCCACCAGATCGGGACCACAGCCAAAAAAGCCCTGGCTCTGGCTGAGGCCAGCCTAACCTCTCTGTGGCCCGGGACCTCCAAGATGTTTTTGTTTGAAGACCGTAAGATCCTCCGTGGGACATACCAGGAGAAGCAGTCCCATAGGTATGAGGGTCCTAGAGTCACAACCTGGGCTGTCCTGGGGGACTGATGGGTTTGTGACCTGCAGGTGGCCTACGAAGCTGGAATTCAACATTACAAGGCGGATGACTACCAGCAGGCGGTGACAAAGCTGGAGGAATCGCTCAAAGAAGGGCTGCTGGCGCTGGAGGACTGCAGGGCCCTTTGCGAAGGGCCTCAGGAGGATGAGGAAAAGGCGGAGGAGACACAGCTTGGCCTCTACGAAGCCATTGCAGGTAGAAGCAGCAAAAGTCTGAGGGAGCGCTGAACGTGAAGAGCTGGAGAGAGCTTGTGGTTTGAGGCGGCCTTCCTCTTGAAGCAAGCACACATGCTTACTCCTCTGTAGACTCTAATAATAATAATAGTAATAATAATAATAATAATATTTATTCCCCACCCATCTGGCTGGCATGTTCTCCAGATGCTTAACGAATATCAAATGCTTGCCTAACAGTCACAAAAAGTGGGTGAGGGTTTAAATAGATGTGGTGGGGAGAGCCATTAATGAAATTTCCTTTGTTCTTTTAAGAGCAGTTAGAGGGGTATTTGGGTTGGGATCTGGCAATAGAAAGAGAAGGTTTATCCACTTCCCAGCGATGTTTTCCCAATTGAAATGTCCTCCCCATCACAAGCATCTATTTCACCTCATGGGAGAAAAGGGGCAGGTGTGTTTTCATTTAGGTTGCTTGACTGCACTGTGGTGAAACAAAAAAATGTTGGGGAATTTTGAATATTGGCAGTATTCCTCCCCTCCCCCCCCCCGAAGCGCATGACTTCTGGGGGCATTAAAGGTAAAGGTACCCCTGCCCGTACGGGCCAGTCGTGTCTGACTCTAGGGTTGTGCGCCCATCTCACTTAAGAGGCCGAGGGCCAGCGCTGTCCGGAGACACTTCCGGGTCACGTGGCCAGCATGACTAAGCTGCTTCTGGTGAACCAGAGCAGCGCACGGAAACGCCGTTTACCTTCCCGCTAGAAAGCGGTACCTATTTATCTACTTGCACTTGGGAGTGCTTTCGAACTGCTAGGTGGGCAGCAGCTGGGACCTAAAGACGGGAGCTCACCCCCCCGCGGGGATTCGAACCGCCGACCATGCGATCGGCAAGCCCTAGGCACTGAGGTTTTACCCACAGCGCCACCCGCGTCCCTCTGGGGGCATTACCTTGAGAGAAAAGGTATTCCCTAGGTAGAAGAAACATCCCATAGCCCTTAAAGAAGCACCTTCTGCTTTTCAAGTGCTGCTCTAATAATAATAATAATAATAATAATAATAATAATAATAATAAATTATTTGTACCCCGCCCATCTGGCTGGGTTTCCCCAGCCACTCTGGGCGGCTTCCAACAAAGATTAAAAATACATTAAAATGCCACACATTAAAAACTTCCCTGAACAAGGAAAAGAGGAAGGGGGTCCCCGCAAAAGGCAGGTCAGGTCATCGTGGAGAGTTAGCCATCTGGTTTCCAGGATACAGGCCTTGAAATCCGAAACACAGGTGAAGGCTGTGGGTTTCTTTAGGGTATTGTAACCCTCCTGGCAAACAGAAGGGGAAGAAATGCAGGCAGTGAGAGATTTTACTTTCTTGGGCTCCATGATCACTGCAGATGGTGACAGCAGCCACGAAATTAAAAGACGCCTGCTTCTTGGGAGAAAAGCGATGACAAACCTAGACAGCATCTTAAAAAGCAGAGACATCACCTTGCCAACAAAGGTCCGTATAGTTAAAGCCATGGTTTTCCCAGTCGTGATGTATGGAAGTGAGAGCTGGACCATAAAGAAGGCTGATCGCCGAAGAATTGACAGTCCAGCTGTTACTCTGGGGGCATGTATTCTCTATTTCTATTTCTCATTCTCTTTCTGCCTTCTTCCAGCTCACTACATCCAGGTCCTAAAGTGCAGGCAGAAGTGTGTTCTTGACATTGCCACCAAGCCTGGGAGGGTGTCTTCCACAGAAGACTTCATCCCGTCTCATTTTGATTTGCTGCAGTTTGCCTATGAAAGAAGTAAGCCGGGGATGCTGTGCTGAGTGGGAATGTGCCCAGGACAAGAGTGGGGTGGAGCATGGATGGAATGGTAGTCGGAGCCATTGTAACTTGAGTCCATCTTCTCGTTTTCAGCTGGGAATTGGGCCCTCGCCGCTGAATGTGCAGCTACCTATTTGCAGTTCTATCCATCAGACGGGGCGTTGCTGGAGAAACTGAAGCAATACCAAGCAGAGCTGGGAGATGTGCCCATTGCAGCCAGAGAGGTACCAGTAAACATTTCTTCCATCTGGAAGCAAGCACCACATCAATGAGAACAAAATATTTTGCACACTGGGCATAATCCAGAGAGAGTTAAGGATTCCCAACTCTCTCATGAAAATCACTCAAGTGACCCTAAGGCACATGGGACAGATAGCTGTGCAGATTTACGGTCAGAGTTTGTTGTTGTTGTTTTTAAGCAAAAAAGCGGGAGCCATTTTGTAGTACTTTTTTTAAATGCCTGGTTTTAATATCTTTATTTCTTTCACAGAATATCCGCCACTATGTGGAGAGGTCTCTTATGGAGAAGAAACTAATTTACTATGCAGTGGAGCACCTTGGGGAAACTTTTAATGACCCTGTAAGTAGCTGCAGTCTGCTTTTTCATCTATGGACGTGTACCTGACAAATTAATATATGGAGGGGACCATTCCCCCCCCCCCCACTTCCTGCCTTGGTGCCTGAAATAAGTGATGAGCAGGAAGCAAGGTATGGATATAAAAGATACTTCAAGATGGCTGCTTCCAGTTGAGCACAGTGAGTTCCCAAAGCCAGGAGGGTGAGGACTGTTTAAATAAAGGAATCGACTGCTTACCTCCCTGACACAAAGTACACCTTTGGTCAGGCTTCTCACTTGATGTGGCTCCAAAAAGATCCCTGTGGTTCGCTGATTTTCAAAGAATGTGGCGCGCCACACTGGTTTAGCCCGAAGGATGGCAAGTGTAGCCAGAATATTCAAGGACAATCAAATAAACATTGAAACATTAGTGTAGTGTAATATAATAATAATAATAATAATAATAATAATAATAATAATAATAATAATTCATTATTTATACCCCGCCCACTCTGGGTGGCTTCCAACCTAATATTAAAAACAATACAGTGTCAGACATTAAAAACTTCCCTAAACAGGGCTGTCTTCAGATGTCTTCTAAAAGTCTGGTAGTTATTATTCTCTTTGACATCTGGTAGGAGGGCGTTCCACAGGGTGGGTGCCACTACCAAGAAGGCCCTCTGCCTGGTTCCCTGTAACCTCACCTCGCAGCGAGGAAACTGCCAGAAGGTCCTCCTCAGTTTCCGGGCTGGATAATGGGGGTGGAGACTCTCCTTCAGGTATACAGGACTGAGGCCTGTATAGTATAATATAGTATAGCATAGCATAGCATAGTAAAGTAATTGTTTTGGATATACAAACAGAAACAGTATCCCCGCCTCTGTTCAAGAGCATTGGCTATACTACTGTTCTCCACGATATATTGTTGCGAACAGGGATTTTCAACACTGACAAATCTGACACATCAGAAAAGAGTAAGGCTTCTTTGCACTGATGAGGAGATGAAAGTTTGTTTGTTTCAAAGTAAACACCATATAAACAAAATTACCTGGCAAAAGCAAGCTCACACGTCTCAATGAGTTGGTATACACACTTAAGGTACATGTGTAAGAGGCTCATTCATAATTACATTTTGGGAACGATTCAAGTTCTTATGTAGTTGCATTGCTTTATACTTTCTGAATGTCCCATGATTACATTGGCTCAGGATTTCAGTGTTTGATCTAGGGAAGGGTTTGTACCAACACCTGACCAATGAGGAATTTGTCAGCAAATGGCAGAAAACCATGGCTAAAAAAGCCACCTCTATTGGTCTGTCACCCCCCAACTGTATTACCTGGGTTATGAAGGCGCCCTAAAGATGTTAAAGCAAAGATTATGGGATAATGCACACAGTGACTTGCGATCTCAATCACACGCAGTCTGTAGTCCGCTGGCAGTAGGAGAACAATATGGGCATGTCTTTAAGTTAACATCTTACATTAAAAACCTGACAGTACCAAACTACCGAAGGCTTTTCACCAAAGCCAGACTAAATGTCTTCCCCTCTGCAGTGTTGGATGGTAGGTTGAGAGGAGTTCCCTACCAGGACAGACTTTGCTCGTGTGCTCAAGACATCGATTCCATAAAACATATTTTGTTGCACTGTGCAAAATATGAGCAAGCCAGGGCTGAACTGATATTACCCTTGCTGGTACCTTTCCCAGGAAAATCAGAGGCTCACTATGTCAGGTTCCTATTGGAAGACCGGACAAACGCTAGAACATTAGCAGTGGCCAAGTTTTTGTCGGTGGTTGCAAGAACCAATGATCCCTATATTCTGAACAAAATGCTTGTTTAAACTGGAGGTAGGCTGTATGAATTGTGTATTGCTTTGTAACGATTTATTGGGTCTCTGGACCGTAAGATTGATGATGATGATGACATTATAAAGTAGTTGTATTCTGTGTTATAAATCGAGCACCGCTCTGGAGCGTCTCTTCCTGGGCTCCAGTGTATTTATTATCAATGAAAAATTGGTGTGGTGCTGGTAAATTTTTATTCTGAAAGTGTGGCCCAGAGAAGAAGGCTTGGGAGCCACAGCTGTAGCATGAACTAGCTGGGAGGCAGAGCATGTGTGCACATACCATGGTGAGGGAGCAGGAATTTTATACTGCAATATGTAGAAGGAGGTGAGGCTTCTGCCACAGCATGGAAAAAATCTTGTGTAACATGAGTCCGTGCCTTTATTTCTTTAGGATTCGTGGACTCCAGAGGAATTGATTCCTGAAAGCATGAAGGAAAAACACAAGTAAGCACCAGAAGGTAGAGAGGCTGGGCTGAGGGGGAGCAATATTAAGTTGTAGCCTTTGCTTTTTTGCCGAACTTTTTAATAGGGGAGAGTCTCATGTCCTCCATTTCTGCAATTGATGGCCTTTTTTGTGTTTGTTTGTTAATCCAAGAGAAGATCAAGAGAAGCAAAGGCTGAAAGCCCCAGATATGGAACAGCAGGAGCCAAGAGGTGAGTACCAGAAAACGACCTGACATGCAGGGAGGAAAGGCTGAATAGGCAACAAGACTTGGTCATCCCCACCGACTCCCTGTGGTGGTTTGAGGGGAGTTGGGCATTGGTGAGTGAAGCTTCCTCTGAACCTGGAGCTAAAGAGAAGAAGGAACCAACTCTGCCCCTTCTCCAGCTCCTAAGTTTAGCTGAAGCCTGGGATTTGCGTGTCGAGACCCCCATAGTTGAGAAATAGCACACACAAGGACACGGATATTAGGTTAATGTTATTGGGCAAATTTTGGCCACAACTTTATTGATTACAGAATGTGAGCGGTATTGGCTTAGGCACTGAATGGACCCGACTATATCTGACTCCTGCCCGTCACGCTGGGAGTCCAGTAAGGGTCAACCACCGGAAAGGGGAGCCCCATCGATGCAAACCAACTCGAGCTCCCCCTGGTGTTCCTGTCGAGGTCGTGTCATGGCTCTAGCCCCACCCCGGGCTTCGGACAAGATCCACACCCCTGGATTCCTTTAACGGAATACCCTTAAGCCACACCTCACCCCCCCTTCACAAGGTCAAACAATGCCTAACCGCAACCCTAGCAAAGTTGTGACCATTGCTACGAGGTAGGCGAAAACCAAATGGCCTGTGCCAATTTGCCAAGTGGAAAAATTCCTACCAGGCCCCTCAACAGCGACCAACCAAGGTCCATAGCAAGGCCAATGACGAAAACCTGCAAAATAGGGAGGGAGGGTGGGCAATTGAGGAAGCGAGCCAAAGAGGAAGCCCTCTGGCTCGCGCCTCTGCTTAAATGGTCCCGGCCACACACCCCCAGCCAGCGGATTGGCTGACTGGGCACTGACATGGCCAGGATCCCCCGGGCAAAGCGGGACTACGTCCCCTGCCCCCGGGGGAGAGTGGGTGGCCGCGTGGTGAACTAGAGGGGAGACGAAGGTGCATGGCTTGAAGCAAGCCTCTCCCCGCAGTCCTCTTCCAAATTGTTGGCGGTGGGGCCTTGTTTTCTCTCTTCCTCTTCCCCTGCAGGCTCCAAGTTTAGAGCTTCAGAAGGGGAGGGGGTCCTGGCAAAATGAAAGTTTGGGTTTGCTTATAACGCTAGCCAAAAAATATTGTTGAGACTCCTGTTCAAGTTTTAGATTGAGCCTTGTAGCCTTTGGAAGAGCAGTGAAGAATTTTGAACAATCCACTGGTTTTATCTTAATTCGGCATTTCTGCTCCCAGTGAAAAACAACTAACTTTGTCTGAAGCCGTGCTTGCAGCACAGGGTGGGGTGTTTTTTATCGCTTGAATTAAGTTGGCTCTGAATTAAATTGACTTTGGTGAATTAGGTGAAGCTTTACGTTTTAAGGATTTACCCTGGGTTTGAAATACCATTTTGTTTCGTGATCCTTTCTTTTGTAAATATGTAAATTGTGCAAAGGATAGCTCAGCTGGTAGAGTGTGGGATTGTTAATCTCTGGGTCATGGGTTTCAGCCCCATGTTGGGCAAAAAGATTTCTGCGTTGCAGAGGGTTGGACTAGAGGACCCTTGCGGTCTCACTGAGTCTCCCCCCCCCCCAAACACTCAGTCTCGTTGCACTCTGTGTGCTTGTCGCAAAACACACCAACCCCGAAAGTCAGTTGCACTATATTATTTTCCATTCAGCAGCCTAACTGCCCACGGATAGAAACAGATTCCAAACTCTATGATTCTGTGAAATGACAGGGACCCAGTGCTGAAGCTTCCAAACTCATGCTAAATCAGATCGACTCGGAGGTTGCTTAAGAGGCAATATGCTGAGAAATCGGAAAGTACTAGGGAATTAGGAGCTTATTCACTATATTTAAGAGCAGCCCTGCTGGATCAAGCCAATTCATCATCATCATCATCACTTTTAATTTGTATACCGTCTTTTTATCTTACAATACCCAAGGCGGTTTACAAGCTGAAGAAACAAAGAATGTACACCGTATAACAATCTAATGCAATACAAAAATATGATAATAAAACATAACTTTAAAATACGCAACCGACATCAAATAAGTAACATTCAACATTCCTTAGAATAGTAGAGAATAATATTAAATATCAGCATATAAAAATTAAACTGAAATCCACTCTTAAAAATTACAATAAATAATTTCTAAACTACAATCAATAAAACAACGGCAAGCTACAGTGCATAAAATAATACAATACAAATGGAGAAGCAGAGACTGGAGGGTGGGGCAAGGCAGGTGGAATAAGGCTTTGCCTGATGAAGTCTCTCCCAGTTGCCATATAGTCCAGCATTCTGTCCCCACAGTAGCCAGCAAGATGCCTCTGGGAATCAGGACTGGATCACAACAGCCGTCTCCCACTCAGGATTTCGGCGGTTGGCATACTGCATCTGATTACAGAGGCCGTGTAACCATCACGGAGCATAAAGCCATTGACAGCCTCATCCTCCATGCAAACTTGTGTTGGGCCCATAGCTGCTTTTGCAGAGCCAGGCAGCACCCTTGTGGTGGCAGTGTTTGCTTATGCACAGGCCTTGCAGCGGCAGGGTTGCCTTATGCACATGTGTTGTACCCATGCCAAAGCGCATTCCCTCCCAGAAGGAGCGTGTTGCCCCCTTTCTGCGCAGCGCAGGGGCACGCGCTCCTCTGATTTGATGCTGTTCCTTTGGCCATCTGCACAGCAGATGGGAGTGAAAGTGAGGCCAGCGGTGGCTGCCCTGCCTGTGTGACCCAGGGAATGGTGTTGCCAGAGATGAGCATTCGAACACCATGTTTGTGCCTCCTTTTTGGACAACAGCTCCTCTACTTTCAGCTGGGACCGAAACTGTTGACTTGGAATGGGAGACGTGTCTGGCTGGTGTCTTGTACCATGCATGTTCATTGGTAGTAGCCCTTGACTATATCAACAAAGATTTGTCAACGTATTTGGTTCTTACGCCAAAGGTTATGGCAAATTTACAAGGCGAAAATAAGCAATAGCTGGATTGCAAATCACACACTGTTTGCTAGTGTACTAAATGTGAATAACGTATACTAAGGATCTATCTGGATGACAAATCCTGAATGTCTTTGAGCCTCCTAGTGGTCTTGCTCATTGGTTTTACATAATTTTATACTTTTTTTTTAGTTTAACCATTTCCAAATATTAAAATAAAAGGTTCTTTCAAACCTTCGGACCTCCTTCCCTCCCTCCATGGGTTCCATATTCAAAGAAAAATATTTTGCGTCTTTTACCGTTATCTATCTGTTACATATCCGTAATTACCAAAGTTCATTTCACATTACAAGTGTCAGTGTATCCCTGCCAATGATTTTAACTGTTTACAGTGGTCTTTTAAATATATTAAAAAATTATTCCATATAACCATATTATTCCATATATTCTCCCTACATGTTTGGGAAGCAAGACATAAATGACTAGGGCCTGTAAGGAGATCAGTTTCCTCCCTGTTTATTTACATCCCTTGGGCACAGCGGAAGGATAGCATTGCCTCATGTGTGCATTCCTATACCGCCTTGCTCATCTCCTTTCCCCAGAACCACTTGCTTTCGAGGGCATCACCATCACCATGGACTCCCAGCAGCTCAATGGCTCCCAGAGAGTTGTCTTGGACAGAGTCCTGACTGAATCTGAATGCAAAGACATCCTCCGCCTGGCCAAGGTAAGGAGAGGTGCCAGCACCTGTCCTGCGTCACCCCCCGCCAGCAGCAGGCGAGGGAGCCAAGAGCAACCCTGCGTCCCTCACATTGTTTCTCTATGTTTCAGGCAGCTGGAGGAACAGAAGGCGGCTATCGCGGCAGGCGTTCGCCTCACACTCCCCATGAGAAATTTGAAGGATTAACAGTGTTAAAGGCTCTGCAGGTAAATGTCTTTATTATTATTTTTAATTGAATTTATATACTGCCCTATACCCGGAGGTCTCGGGGGGGTTCACAGAAAATATCACAATATATAAAATGAAAATAAAAACCCAATAACACCCCCCCAAAAAAGAGCCACATTTTAAAAGGGTATAGGACATGGGTAGGCAAACTAAGGCCCAGGGGCCGGATCCAGCCCAATCGCCCGCGGATGTTCCGGGAATCAGCCCATTTTTACATGAGTAGAATGTGCCCTTTTATTTAAAATGCATCTCTGGGTTATTTGTGGGTCATAGGAATTGGTTCGGTTTTTCCCTTCAAAATATCGTCCGGCCCCCCACAAGGTCTGAGGGACAGTGGACCGGCCCCCTGCTGAAAAAGTTTGCTGACCCTTGGTGTAGGATGTCAAGCAGGTCAACCAAAGCCCTGGTTAAAAAGGCACATTTTTGCCTGGCGCCTAATGGTATAAAATGAAGGCACCTGGCGAACTTCCCTGGGGAGAGAAGAGAAGGCCTGTTCTCGTGTTGCCACCCTCTGGATCTTGAGTTATTGCGGTCCTGAGCTGTTTAAGGCTTTATAGGTCAAAACCAGCATTTTGAATTGGGCCTGGAAACTACTTAGTAGCCAGTGCAGTCGAACCAGGATTGGTGTAATATGCTCAGACCATCTTGCTCCGGTGAGCAACCTGGCCACTGAATTCTGCGCTAGCTGAAGTTTCTGAAGCATCTTCAGAGGCAGCCCTACATATAACGCATTGCAGTAATCTAATCTTGAAGTTACCAGAGCATAAAGGTAAAGGTAAAGGGACCCCTGACCATTAGGTCCAGTCATGACCGACTCTGGGGTTGTGGCGCTCATCTCGCTTTATTGGCCGAGGGAGCCGGCGTGCAGCTTCCGGGTCATGTGGCCAGCATGACTAAGCCGCTTCTGGTGAACCAGAGCAGCGCATGGAAACGCCGTTTACTTTCCCGCCAGAGCGGTACCTATTTATCTACTTGCACTTTGACGTGCTTTCAAACTGCTAGGTTGGCAGGAGCAGGGACCGAGCAACGGGAGCTCACCCCATCGCGGGGATTCGAACTGCCGACCTTCTGATGGGCAAGCCCTAGGCTCTGTGGTTTAACCCACAGCGCCACCTGCGTCCCAGAGCATAGACAACAGTAGTTAGGCAATCCCTCTTGAGATAGGGGCGTAACTGGGCCACCTGCTGCAGCTGATGGAAGGCACTCTGGGGGGCTTTAGAAGGCGCAAGCTCCTAGTTCTAGGTGTAGGTTTTTTCTTTGCATCTTCTCTGAAGCTAGATAGAAAGCAGAGGTGTGAGAACTTTAAGCCAGAGTACACTGTCAAGTTGAAATAGCAAAGAAGTTGTAAACAAGTACATTTTTAATTGGAGTTGAACAGTATATGCGAGGCAATGTTGCCTGCTGTGTGTTTATCTACATGCATGCGTAAAGACACACTCATGCATGTACAAACACACTTTCCTCCTCCTGTGGTTAGAAATGACTGTGAAACATTCCCGTTGCTTCTTCTAGGGAAGGCATGTCCAAAGTCTGTTTCAGGGGCCTAATCCGACCCACTGGTTGATTTAATCCTGCCCCCGTGGCAGTATACCGTATTTTTCACCCTATAGGACGCATTTCCCCCCTCCAAAAATGAAGGGGAAATGTGTGTGCGTCCTATGGGGCGAATGCAGGCTTAGCTGAAGCCTGGAGCGCGAGGGGTCGGGGCGCACCGACCCCTCTTGCTCTCCAGGCTTCAGGAAGCTATCCGCAAGCCTGGGGAGACCGGCGGCAGTTCCCGCGGGCTCCCAAGGCTTGCGGATAGCAGCCTGTTCTGGGGGCTGGGGTCGGGGGAAGCTCGGGCTTCCCCCGCCCCAGCCCCGCGCCTGGGGCAGAAATAATATTTTTTTCTTTATTTCCCCGCAAAAAACACTAGGTGCGCCCTATGGGCCGGTGCGCCTTATAGGGCGAAAAATACGGTATGTCCTCAACAACTTTGGTCAGCCCTCACGCATGTTCACTTCATCAAATCTGGCCCTCTTTGAAAAAAGTTTGGGCACCCCTGTTCTAAGGTAAAAAAATTTCAGGAGGGAAGAGTTTTCATCTGAGAAGTGGCAAGGGAGTGTTTAACCTTTTCCTTGACCCAGTGCTTCTCCAGATAAAAACATTCCTGTAAGGATTATTTTCCCCTACAGGGTTTCAGATGTGTACATACAAACATGTATGTAAGGCCCCATGTGAGACAAACGGCTTGGGGGAGTGTGATTTTTAGCAAAGAAGTGGTTGGCGCAGAAAGGGCTCAGCACACGCAGATGGGCTTCTTCTCTCCAAACAATCTCTTCCTGAAGCTGCTTTGCCTTCCAAAAAAAAAAAAAAAAAACAACCATTGGGTTCTCTGAAACGAATTTGCATGTAATGTATAGTTTTGCCTTTATGTAGCCTTCATAGCCTGTGATGTATGCGTTTATTCATGTTCTCTGGCAAAGAGTTTCTGCAGGATTTTGAAGCACAAGAATGACTTTTTTGTTTGTTTTTCATTTATTCAAAAAACAAGTAATTTAGAAACATTATTGTACACAGCATCATGCTGCAGGCTTAGCCCATAAGATACTCTCCATCATAGAATTGTAAAGTCAGAAGGGATCACGAGGGTGATCTAGTCCAACTCCCAGCAATGCAGGGATATTTTGCCCAACATGGGGCTCAAACCTACAACCCTGAGATCCAGAGTATCAGGCTATACCAGCTGAGCTATATCCCATATACCTCTCCTCCTTCGTACCACCTAAGAACCATATCATTATTAGTCTTGCTGCTGCTAAGGATCATAACATTTCAATGTGCCTGCAGATAAGATTATAAAGGTAAAGGGTAAAGGAACCCCTGACCATTAGGTCCAGTCGTGGCCGACTCTGGGGTTGCGGCGCTCATCTCGCTTTATTGGCTGAGGGAGCCGGCGTACAGCTTCCGGGTCATGTGGCTAGCATGACTAAGCCACTTCTGGCGAACCAGAAAAGTGCACGGAAACGCCGTTTACCTTCCCGCCGGAGTGGTACCTATTTATCTACTTGCACTTTGACGTGCTTTCGAGCTGTTAGGTTGGCAGGAGCTGGGACCAAGCAATGGGAGCTCACCCCGTCGCGGGGATTCGAACCGCAGACCTTCTGATCGGCAAGTCCTAGGCTCTGTGGTTTAATCCACAGCACCACCCGCATCCCTAGATAAGATTATACTTTTCTTTTAAAAAGTGCTTTCTAAATACATTCATATGGTGACATTTTCCCCGGTCCTCCCACCCATCATTCCAAAAGGAATGAGTCTCCTCCATGGGCAACGATGTGACTCTCATCCCGCCTTCAGTTTGGTGGGGAAACTGCTGTCCTCTAGCTTCTGACAAGTTGGCAGACCTCGTATCATGCACTACATGCTTGTCCTATAAGTGACAAATATTTTGCCCAAGACCAGCTTGCAAAACAAAGCCTTACAGGGACCATACAGGTGGGGGTGGGACCCAAATATCTAAGGATTTTCATTGCTGGATTGTATTTAGAGACATCACCATCAGGAATGATAAATGTGAGGGTAATAGAAGCCCTGAGAAAAACACTGAGGCCATATTATGAGCATGGGTGGAGTCTTGACGAAGAGGATCCTATTGTGAAACATTTGAGAAGAGGACAAAAAGATGGAATGCAAAAGATTTGTGTAGACTGCTTGCTGAGGAAATAGAGGAGGCCTGGAAGAGAGCCAGTGTGGTGTAGTGGTTAAGAGCGGTAGTCTCGTAATCTGGGGAACCGGGTTCGCGTCTCCGCTCCTCCACATGCAGCTGCTGGGTGACCTTGGGCCAGTCACACTTCTTGAAGTCTCTCAGCCCCACTCACCTCACAGAGTGTTTGTTGTGGGGGAGGAAGGGAAAGGAGAATGTTAGCCGCTTTGAGACTCCTTAAAGGGAGTGAAAGGCGGGATATCAAATCCAAACTCTTCTCTTCTTCTTCTTCCAAGGATTTCTTCCCAAGGTGTTTCTTAAGGTATGTTTCAGCCTTAGGCTGATGTGATTATCTCATGCCAGTGAATATTTCCAGCTTTCTTCCTTTCTCCCACCCTCGCTTGCTTGTGTTCTCTCTTTATAAGCATTTCTTTTATCAGATATCCTTTATTAGGCATAGCAAACCACACATTATCAAACAGACACCGTATACAAATTTTGCAAAATATGAGCTCAGCATAACAAGGTTTGTCCCAGTCAGATCTTTAACTCCAGAGGAAATCAATTTGCATAAATAATACAATACACCACTACCACATCACCAATCAATTAAGAACCACTAAATCTCTTTATAATGGCCCAGTCTTTCTACATGGACAGCACTCAAAAATTCAGCCACTATTAGAGTAATTTGATCATTCCTGTCCGAGAGCAGGTCCTGAACCGTCGGTAGTGTAGAATTGAGCCTATTGAGTTGTAAGGCCTCCAATAATTGTCTTCTGGCATAAATGCCAAAATCACAAGAAAAGAAAATATGCTATGAGCATTTCTGCTTCAGGCCCCATTTCTTGAATTCCACCAGTGCGAGACCCCTTCCTCCATACTTCCTCCTCTCTGCAGTCATGGAGGGTGCCCCATTGCAACAGAGGACAAGCCTCCTGTGCTATGGAGAGTTGTGCAGATGAAGGAATTTGGGCAGGTGCAGATTGCCATGCAACACATACCTTGATGCAGGCAAGGAAAGGCAGCCAAGGGGACCAGGGAGGAAGCAGCCATACCATTTCCTTCTCTCACTTCATTGATGCTTTGAAAGGTAAACACATATTACCCTGGCAGCTCCAACAAACAAGACAAGCTGCACCAATTTTCATTCCCTCCTCTCCCCAATTGTTACATGTGCAGAAGCCCCTCTCCTGCATTTTGATAAGGAAACTGCTGCATATTCTGGCAATTGTTGTCTGTACCCTTTTTTTCTCTTTCACATGTGTGCCTGGAGCTTCACGCAAATTCAGGACACTTCCGTAAGTGAGGGTTTCTGCAATGGCTTTTTGTCTTCTAGCTGGCTGAGGAGAGCACTGTGAACTGGAGGGATGCTAAGCTTCTCTTGCAAGCCAGTGAGAAATCCCGGAAAATTGTGGAATCCTATTTCACCCCTGGCAAAGAACTCTATTTTTCATTCACACATCTTGTGTGTCGCACGGCTGCCGAGGGTAAGGAACTTTGCCTCTTCTCATCGGCACAATGTTCCACACTGAACAAGAGCGTTTCTACATTGTTAGTTGGAAATACGACCCAGCTGATGAATTTACTGCTTCAAAACAATAGAAGTGATGTGAAATATACTCGGAGTCAAGTGTGGATTTCATATTCTTTATTCAGCTCATAGTAGTGAGGAATGAAAGTTTCCCCAAAATATCTGCTTTATATACATTATTTACACAATGGGCTGCACGTGATTGGCTAATTCTGGGATTCTCCTGTAGGCCAATCAGGTTGTGGATTCACTTCTATCTGGAGCTGGATTGGGTGGCTCCTGCAGACCAATCAGACTGCTGCATTCTGAATCCTATTGTTCTAGGACCAATCAGACTGCTGCATTTTGGATCCTATTGTTCTAGGATCAATCAGACTGCTGCATTTTGGATCCTATTCAACTCAGTACATAACACCATGCAAACAATTCATTTGAAAGGCAGAGTAAAAGCCTTGGCTATGCTACTATCATCTAATAAGGAGTGAACATCAGCACTGAATCTTACATTTGTGAATATTCAACATATGCCAAAGTTTGAAATTTTTCTGTTTGCAAAATTCACACCAAAATTCGTAGAATTGTAGTATTGAAAGGGACACTGAGAATCATCTAGTCCATCCCCTGCAATGCAGGAATATGTAGCGGTCCCATATGGGGATTGAACCTGCAACCTTGGCCTTATCAGCACCACACTCTGACCAGCTGAGATTCTGGAGCTGCTTGCTCCCAGATACAAATTATCAAGAGTATCAAACATGAAATGTCATCAGCTGAACTCCCTCAAATATACCCGTCGCAATCCAGCAAGAGAGTTCCACATACATAAAGTAGTCTTGTTATACGTGACTAGTTGCCCATGAGTAGTTGGATCGTAGCCTAATTATCAATGCATACTAACTATAAAATACAATCTGAGGGCCTTCTGGTGGTTCCCTCACTGCGAGAAGTGGGGTTACAAGGAACCAGGCAGAGGGCCTTCTCAGTAGTGGCGCCCGCCCTGTGGAACACCATACCATCAGATGTCAAAGAAGTAAACAACTATCTTACGTTTAAAAGACATCTGAAGGCAGCCCTGTTTAGGGAAGTTTTTAATGTTTGATGTTTTATTGTGTTTTTGATATTCTGTTGGGAGCCGCCCAGAGTGGCTGGGGAAACCCAGCCAGATGGGTGGGGTATAAATAAAAAATTATTATTATTAAATAAAAATGCTGGGATGGCAGATATCAAATATTTTATGAACATTTATTTCATTATATTTATTTATTTCATTACACTTAATTATTTCATCCTGTCCTTCCCAACAGGATGTGTCTATTCCCCTCCAACATTTTTCCTTGCATTCTTCAACATTTTCTCCTGGTGTCAGAAACAAGGCATTTTATGGTTTTCATTGGTGTTGTTTAGGAGAGCAGGAAAGTCGTATGGACCTCAGCCACCCAGTCCATGCTGACAATTGTCTCTTGGACCCCGAGGGCAGCACATGTTGGAGGGAGCCTCCTGCCTACATATACAGAGACTACAGGTGAGGCACGGAGGGGGAAGACTGATATATATGTCTTTTAAAGAGCCACATGTACGTTCATTTATACACAATCCAGATGAAGGCGATATATTTATTAGGCCATCCAAAATGTCGCAAAATAGTGCGAAAGCTTTTGAGGACATGTTCATCAGGCTAGATCGGGGTTTCCTAAACTTGGGTCTCCAGCTGTTTTTGGACCACAACTCCCATCATCCCTAGCTAGCAGGACCAGCAGTCAGGGATGATGGGAATTGCTTAATTTTTCTAGTAGGGCTGTTTCCCATACTATTTGGTACCATTGGTCCATGCTTACTCCTGACAGGTCTCTCCAGTGTCTGGTTATGGTGTTTCTGGCTGCTGAAAGTAGGTGGGTTATGAGTTCTTTGTGGTGTAAGTGGGCATTGTTGTCTTGGAAGATGCTTAGTAGGGCCAATTCTGGGGTGATGTCTAATACTTGCTTAGTTATTTTACATATTTATCGTGTGGCTGTTGACCAGAATAGTTGGATTTTGGGGCACTCCCACCACATGTGGAGGTATGTGCCTGTGGAGGTGCACCCTCTCCAGCATTTTGGTGAGGTTCCTGGGCGTATTAGCGCTAGTTTCCTTGGTGTTAGGTACCACCTGTAGGTGAGTTTCAAAGTGAGTTCTTTTCTTTTCGTTGATATGGATTTAAAGGGGGGTTTAGACCACATTCTGGTCCAAGGGATGATGGGAATTGTAGTCCAAAAACAGTTGGAGACCCAAGTTTGGGAAACCCCAGGCTAGATGGTAAACAAAGCAAGCAGGGGGAAGAAGAAAAAAAGATGGGTGGTGGTAAAGTTGGGACTCTGCGTCTTGTAAGAGTGTTAATGAGAGGTGTTTTCAGGTGCTCAAATGAGGCCTTGAAGAACCCAAAAGCTTGCACACCCTTTTGTGCCATTTTGGTGGTTTGGTTGACATTTTAGATGGTCTAGGAAAAAGTACTGTCTTCATAATGAATTTCAAAAGGTTTCTTATGGGCCAACATGGCTGCCTTTTGTGTTGACTCTCCGTTCTTTGCTTCGGTTTAAAACAACAGCCCAGGAAATATTTCGGAAAGAGTTAAAGAACTTGCTCTGGAGTTTTGTTGATGTTGCAAATGCCAATCAAGCGGGCACGTGTAACAACACAAATCCTCACCCGTGGGGTGCGAGTCTCTGTGGCAACGTTCATGTCCAACGAGTGAAGGACCTTGGAGCAAATCCCAGCTACCCATAACTCTGCCTGTCTCCCGTTTCTCTGCAGTGCAATCCTCTACCTGAATGATGACTTCCAGGGGGGAAACCTCTTTTTCACTGAGATGGATGCTGTGACTGTTACAGTGAGTCTGGGCCCACGGCTTGGGGGGGTGAGGGAATGGCTGAGAAGGAAGAACAGCTGTAGCTGGGATCCTCCCCCTCCCCTCCAACAGAACCTGTCCTTGGCAACAGCAGCAGATTCAAATTGGGCAGTCAAAGGCAAATTCAGTCAAATTTCACCCTGGAACAGGCATTAACTCCTTGTCGACTGGTATGCCTAGCTCTTCTGCTAGTTGCTGCGTTCCTTTCACCTTTCTGTCCCTTTTCAGTCCTGCATGGTGCAATTCGCTCCAGAGCAGGGGGACCAAGATCCCATCAACAGCTCAGAAAGTTGCCATCCAACTTGGCGCCCCAAGAAGAAGGCGAGTTGGAGAAGGGGAAACGGATGGGCTCATGGCAAAGCCATCGATTCACACCAGTCTCCCTCTTTCTCTTTCTGTGTGGCAGGCTGAGGTGCGCCCTAAATGTGGAAGGCTGGTGGCCTTCAGCTCTGGCGGGGAGAACCCTCACGGCGTGTGGGCTGTGACCCGTGGGAGGCGCTGTGCCATTGCCCTCTGGTACACCCTCTTCCCAGAGCATGCGGAGCAGGTAACGCAAAGCAAAGAAGAGCTGGAGGATGTAGGGATGAGGGAGCCAATGGGCATTGTCCAAAGGCATATATACTTAAGTAAAATGGGGGCTGGGTTGGGGGTGAGATGAAGTGTTGGTGCTGACCTTTAAAGCCCTAAATGGCCTCTGTCCAGTATACCTGAAGGAATGTCTCTACCCCCATCGTTCTGCCTGGACTCTGAGGTCCAGCTCCAAGGGCCTTCTGGTGGTTCCCTCATTGCGAGAAGCAAAGCTACAGGGAACCAGGCAGAGGGCCTTCTCGGTGGTGACGCCCGCCCTGTGGAACGCCCTCCCACCAGATGTCAAAGAGATAAACAACTACCTGACATTTAGAAGACATCTGAAGGCAGCCCTGTTCAGGGAAGTTTTTAATGTGTGACATTTTAATGTATTTTTAATCTTTGTTGGAAGCCGCCCAGAGTGGCTGGGGAAACCCAGCCAGATGGGCAGGGTACAAATAATAAATTATTGTTATTATTATTCGCTTATGCGGCGCATCCAAGCAGCAAGTGGTAGAATTTAATGCATACACATCCTGTGGACTTCCGGAGGAGGAAATACCACTTTCTTTATTTTATTTGATTTATTGTATTTCTGTGCTGCTTTTCATTCAAATGAATCCCAAAGCGGCTTACAAACAAGAAATAACAACATGATAAGCCATAATAGAACATCGCAAATACAGCATAAATCATACAATTAACAAATCATCAATAAAACGATTACAATCTATAAAACAACAACTGAAAAATAAAATAAACATTGCAATTACAACAAAAGTCAAATGATTAACAAATCAATATGGCATAATCTATAAAACAATATTGACAACTTAAAAAAAGCAACTTTAAAAAAGCTAAGCACTGTTAGGCTCATACACACTCTCATAATTCATAATTTTTCACTCTACAGTGGTACCTCGGGTTAAGTACTTAATTCGTTCCAGAGGTCTGTTCTTAACCTGAAACTGTTCTTAACCTGAAGCACCACTTTAGCTAATGGGGCCTCCTGCTGCTGCGCCACCAGAACACGATTTCTGTTCTTATCCTGAAGCAAAGTTCTTGACCTGAAGCGCTATTTCTGGGTTAGTGGAGTGTGTAACCTGAAGCGTATGTAACCTGAGGTACCACTGTATTTGGTTCATTAAAATAAATATAAAATACACATAATGCATGTTATTAAGCTAGCTCAACCCTTCAGCAAGGAGACCGTCAACTAACAAAGTGCTGCTCTTCAAGACTCCTTCCGCCTTTCTAACTAGGCACACCAACTCTAGGGGGCCGAGGTGTCTTCGGCCCCCTTGATACTGGTTTGAAAGGGGCCCGGTGCATGTTGTGGAAGGCTGCGCTGGCACTGCGTGGCATCAGGAGATGCCACAGGGACTAGCGCAGCCTGGGATAAGGTCACACCAGCCTGCACGGTGTTGAGAGATGCTGTGGGAACCAGCGCAGCCTAATGGAAGGCCGCACCAGCCTGCGTGGTGTTGAGAGATGCACATGACGTCACACGATGTGTGGCCGGCCTCCTCAGTCTTGGGGATGACCTGGCTCCTCCGTTTCCAACACATACGGTCTTCTCACTCTCTTCTTGTAGGAACGGGCCCGGGCAGAAGAGCTGATGAGGCAGAAGGAGGCAGAACAGGAGCAGTCGCATTCAGAGGAGGAGGAGCATGGAGGTGCTGAACCCAGTGGCGCAGACTCCCCCGAGCCCCCAACTCCAAAGGGAAGAGCTAGGTCGACTAGCCAAAGGACCAGGTCAAACTCAGACTCTGGGATACAGTCCACGAGGCTGCGAGCCAGAGATGAATTCTGAGCATGTTGGACATGCAGAAGCCTTTCAGATTTTGTAGCAGCTCGTGGCAAGTGAATGACTTGGGAGTTTTTGCCCTGTGCCAGGCATTGTGGCAAGGCGGCTTTGGTTCTCCATGTGGCACTACCAGAAATGACATCAAAAGGTGGCTTGGACCATGCCCACCCAAGTTAGCCGGAGAATCGTTTTGTCCCCACTGGGATGCCTGTGAACCAGGAATAAACCCTGCTACAACTCTGTCATCTCAGCTATAGCCTCTCATCTCTACACAGGAGTAATAGGACTGTTGTAATGATGACTGAGATAAAGTGCTTTGACCATTCTGAAGTGCTATATAAATGTTGAATATCATTCTTCTACCAGCCCCGTTTTTCACATAGTTATATGAAGGAATTAAAAAACAGGAGGAGGGCACCATCAGAAATGGATGGGTCTGATAAATTTTGTTGTGATGGAAATGTACACTTGTGGAAGCAGCTAGGCCAGAGCAGGAATCTGTGGTGGGCAAGTTAAGAAATGAACGAGTGGGGAAACCTGAACAGACCTTTCCTAGTCCTGAGGAAATGAAGAGTAAAAAAGCAGAGAGAAAGAAATACTTGCGCCAATTAATTTTCTGAGATATATCCTAGGAACAGCTTGTGCTGTCTGTGCCAGATCTTCAGTAGATCAGTGCTCTCCTCCTAGGTAGGTTTTCACTATAAGGTCTAATAGCATGCTTCAAAGGTGGGTGGGTAATTCTCTTCCTACAGAGCACATACTAATTTGTTTTGCCCCACTGTTTCTGAAACCCTTCAAAGCCAGGCAAAAGTAAAACGACGATATGGATCCTTTCTTTGTGAAAACCTTCCAACTTCCTGGGAAACGATGACAGCCTCCAGCAGTTCATAGAATTATCGAGTTGGAAGGGACCCCCCAAAGGTCATTTAGCCCAACCCCCCACAATAGCAGGAGTGCAGTGCAGTTCAGATATATATGAAATCTTATCCAGAGAGAAACCTTGATGGAATAAGTGGTCCAGAAGTTGCTTGATCTCTTTAACAAGCAACCAGATCTTTGTTTCCCCTTCCATGGCGAATCCTTCCCATGTGGTGGTGCAACATATTGTATGTTTAGTACAGCACACAGAAGAAAGCTTCCTTTTCAAACTGACCCCCGCCCTCCCCGCAAAAAGGACAGCACAGACCGGACAAGAGTCCTTGCTTCTGAGACAAAAATGACACGATGTTTAGGCACCACATAACACTGCGCTGAAGACGCAACCCACCATGTGCACAATAGTCTACCAGTGCAGACAACATGCCACAGGCTCAAACCTCACCACTAACCCTGCCTGAATGACCTACTTTGCACCGGTGGCATTTTGCATCTCTTGGGCAGAAAGTGGGAAAACTACAGGCTTGCTACTAAACATGGCAGTGAGAAAGCAGCTTTTTGAGGATGAAAGTCAACAGGTCCAACTTGGATGAGTGTGATTATCGCTCCTGGGAGCTTGTCAAAACTGTGGGGACGGAGACGAAAACAGAGAGAGAGTTTCCACTGGAAGCAAAGATTTAATTAACAAATGATGCTGGGAGACAGAGGCCTGGAGAAAGGGAAAACAGATGAATAGCCCTTCCCTCAGCAAACACAAAAGTGGGCGAGATTAGGAAAAGAGTTACTGATAACTAGCTATGGCTTTTAGTATTCAGACTTGCAGTTATTTAGACGTACATGGTCTCCTGTAGCTGTACTGGATCACACAGCTAAACAGCAGGGAGGACAAGAACTTCTGGATTGTTTACAGGTTTCCAGTCTGGGATAAACACAATCCACTGTTGTTCCTGTGCAGGGGATTAGCATCCAGAGATGGGATTATATTGTAGTCAAACAGAAGCTGAGAGGGGAGAGTATCAAAGATGGCAATGACCCCATTCCTGGGAGGGGCCTGGGCCTTTGGGCAGACGAATTGGTGGCCCAAGCGTTGCTTTTGCACCGCAAGGGACTCGCAGAATTACAGCTGGCTTCCCACTTTGCCTTATGCATCCACACAACAGGATATGACATAGCCACATGAGGAAGAAAAGGACAATTCACCTGAGCGCACTTTTTAAAAAACTTTTTTTAAAAAAAAATTGTGTGAAAGTGCAAATAAAGCTAAAGGTAAAGGGCCCCCTGACCATTAGGTCCAGTCGTGGCCGACTCTGGGGCTGCGGTGCTCATCTCGCTTTATTGGCCGAGGGAGCCGGCGTACAGCTTCCGGGTCATGTGGCCAGCATGACTAAGCCGCTTCTGGTGAACCAGAGCAGCGCATGGAAACACCATTTACCTTCCCACTGGAGCGGTACCTATTTATCTACTTGCACTTTGACGTGCTTTCGAACTGCTAGGTTGGCAGGAGCAGGGACTGAGCAATGGGAGCTCACCCTGTCACGGGGATTCAAACCGCCGACCTTCTGATCGGCAAGTCCTATGCTCTGTGGTTTAACGCACAGCGCCACCCGCATCCCAAAAATGCAAATACTACTGAGCAATTACTTCAATAACTTTTTTGAATGTTTTAGGTCAAATTATAAAGGGGAGGGGGGAGGAGCATACTGAAAAGGATGTTGACTGTAAAGACCAGAAAACATGGAACACCTTTGCAGCTTCAAGGGTGCCCCTTGTTGAGACTCTTAATCTCGGGTTCATGGGTTCGAGCCCCACGCTGGCCAAAAGATTCCTGCATTGCAGGGGGTTGAACCTGATGCTTGTGGGGGGGGTCCCCTTCCAACTCTACAATTCAAATTTAAAGCCTTAATGGGTTTTTTTTTTAAAAAAATTAACATGTTGATAAAATGGCACCTCCAGGTACGGAAATAGTGAGCATGTGCTGGAAAGTAGGTGGGAATTGGCTCAGCTGCCCAATATGTCACCACACTTTTCAAAACAGCATCTCTTAAAAAGATGGAAGAACAAGACCGCAGTATCAGTGGAGATTCACCCCCCCCCTTTAAAAAGTCAGATTTTCTGCAGTCGGAAAAACAAGCGTGGTGAAAACACAAGAGAACTATGATTTGATAACAACATCATACACAAGGCCCTATAAAAAGTGAGTGAACCAAGTGGGGTTATCCAATATGGAATCACCCTTAGGCTCTGGGGCAACAGCATGGAAGCCGAGATGATGGGAGATAAAAGACAAAACTAAGCAGAACATGAGTTACCTAAACTAGGATAGTTCAGTCAGCTGAGCATGAGGCTCTTAATCTCAGGGTTGTGGATTCGAGCCCCAAATTGGGCAAAAGCTTCCTGTATTGCAGGGGGTTGGATTACACGACCCCTTGCAGTCCCTTCCAACTCGACAGTTCCACAATTCTATGGGGCAGCCATTTTTTGATCTCCTGAAATCTTTAGGTGCTTCAAAACGCTGTTTTGCCATCAAATACCACCAGCAAATTCAGGCTACGCAGTTAAAGTGGATTTGGTGCTATTCTGCAACAAACCTATTCCCTCACAAAAAAAATCAGACTTCGCAATAAGGCAAATGCCAGGAAATTCTGCTGTAAAGTGTGAGATAGCAATTGTTTTCATCATGCAACCTCACTGAAAACAGATCGTAGCGCATAAGCAACAAACGTCATAATACCACCCTGCAAACTTTGTGCAATCAAATAAGGAAGGATGGTCAACAAACGGGTCATCTGGAAGCAACCTTTGTCTGAAAGCAGCAACACCCTACTGGATTGGATCCAAACTATAGCACTGGGGGTAGGGGGTGGGGAGGCTTAACCCTTTCCATTCCAGGGTTGAGGGCTAAGCATGGTGCTATAAAAACAGCCCTGGATGAACATAGAGTAGATCCGTTTCATACGTTGGCTGTGGCTCCTGACTGCCTGGCCACTTGATGGGAGCTAATCCAGTCCCAATGAGCTTGGGAAGATATGAGAGGGCCAAGCAGGTGCTTTTGTGTGTGTTACACACTTGCTTCAATGCGATTCTGATAAAAACTGATAGGTGGTTTGCTCCCACCTGTTGCTGCTGCTGAGTAGAAGCTAAGATGCCTCAACTTGAAAGTTTTGACTCACCCGCAAAACTCATTAGGTAGCCACAGGCAAATAGCAATCTCAGCCTTAGCTACTCATCTGCATTATGAGGATAATGCTGTGCTTCCACACGGGGCTGCCCAAAGGATTACTGAAGCACCAAGAATGCTTGAAATGAACAATATAAATGCTAAGTGTTATTACTATTATCCTACTCTAAAGGGAACCAGGGAGAACTAAATGCGTTTCCCCCTTTCCATTCTCTCTGCAACATCTGCTTCCCTATCCAATTGCCCTTTTCTCCTGTACATCCAGAGCTCATTTCAAATCCAGTTGTCATAGATGATGCTCATTTTGCGGGAGGAAGAGGGCGCATTACTAGCCCGTCGGGGGGCTAGTCGGCCTCAGATCCATGTGAGGTCCCTGGCCCTCTCAGCATGGTGGGCTACCTCTGGCCCAGAAGTGGCCCAGCTGATTAGATTGATGGCTTCCTGACGTCAGAATGCGATCCGTTAAAAGGTATTTATCTCAGGCTTGGGCCAAAGCTGCAGGAGAGATTAAAAGAGATTGAGGCCAAGATAATCCTTCTACAGCAGCATCCCAGAACACAGCTGCCAAAAGGCCTTCGACCAAATGCATTTGCCAGCCCAAAGAACACCTTTTTTTCTAGAATACAGTTGCCTCAATTATTGCCCTAAGGTGTGTGTCCCCATTGCTGCCCTTTCCCAACCTAAGGTGGGGTTCACCAAAAAACAAGACGACAGTGGGTTTCGCCAGAATACAGCCTGCCTGCCTCCGGATACCCCTCCAGACCCATTCCCCATAAAATGAAATATATATATATGCATGTATATTTTCTCCCTGGGATCGTTTCTGTTATCTTCATGCAAAACACAAATGAATCACACCAACATTCTCTGGATGTGCTCCCCCCCCTCCTCTTTCGAGAAAGCACATAACTCTCCCTCTCTCTCCCCTCCCAACCTGCTTGCTTTGCATTAAGTCCCAATCCGATTTCCCCAACTCTCTGGTGTCTGATTTAATTTGCCTGATGCTGCTCCTGGAATTGGCCCTCCCCCAAACCCCCACCCTTCCCTCCACAGTATCCCAGCTCCCCACAGGGAGATCTATCCTGGGAGAGGATGAGACGTTGAGAGCCAGCGAGAGATACCAAGCGTGTGGACTTTCGCTGGTGCTGGAACACAAACAGCTGAAGTAAACTAGCAGTGGAAGCAGGTACCTCGTGGCCTGAAGGAGCCAAACCCCCCACCCAGGGAGCCAGGGGGTCCCGAGCAGGAGGGGTCAGCCCATAGAGAACGGTAAGAGTAGACTCCCTTCTTGTTTCTTCTCCCCTCTCCCTGTTTTCCCGGATCCCTCACTCTTTGACTTGGTGGAATGCAAATTCTGGGTTTCCTAGGGTGTTGAAAGAGACCTGGTTTAAGAAGGTTGTGGGACAGGCAATTGCGTAAAAGTGATTTTGTTTCTCGGGGCTACTTTCACAAAACTACATTCCCCCAACCCATTATCTCTGTAGTTTGTGGAGCGGAGGTGTGCGCATTGCCCCTTGTGAAGGCAACAGGAGTGTTATCTGACGAACTCATTACAAACTAAAAATGAACTCATTACAAACTAAAAAGCGACCAGGCTTCACGAGTGATGGTGAACGAGCTTTCCCCTGTACTTTTTGCTGTCCTGAAGGATTTACGCATCCTGCCTGAAGTGGGACCTCAGAGTTGGCAGGTTGGCGCAAGTTCTGTTCTGCTCACTGAAAAGGAGAGAGGGCCAGGAGTCCCGCTTCTCCCAGAAAAGGATATTCCACAGAATGCCCTGAAGGACCCGCTAATGTAATGAGCTGGCAGCCACATGCTTCAGATTCTCACCCTTGCACCGTACTTTTAGAGTTCTCTTTGGAGAAAGAATCCACAACATTTGGTGGGAGCTGAAGGAATAGAGGAGGAGGATCAGGGTAATTTTATCCTGCCCTTTGATCTCTGCTGGCAGGAGGAGGAGGGTAAGAATGGTGGTGGATCAACTCTATCCGGTGCTGAAGGAGCTCAGGGTCAACAGGACAAGCAAGTCCTGCCTGCATAGGGATTACATGGAGTCCCAAGACATCTATTAATCCCACGTCCTTCCGTGCCTTTCCCTTTTCTATTTACAGCTCTTTGCCATAGCCTTCACCCGCCTCCCCTGCCTCAAGAGGAAAACTTGGGGTGCCATAGAAATTCAAGGCAGAGGAATCTGTACTGCTAGCTCCTCCGTACTGGTCCGTTTCCTTTCAATTTGTGACATTAGCTGATTTAAGTTCCAAAAACAAAAGTTCACACCACTCTGTTGTACAGGCAAGTGACACCCACACAGCAATGTCAGGAGGTGCCCTGCATTGGTGGGCCAGGCCACACTGAGTACATCCCTCAGAGTTGTTGCTATGTCGGCCTACCGCTTGTGTAACGGTCAGCTGCCAGTCTGCAAAAACTTACAGGTCCGGCCCTATCATTGGGCAACCTGAGGCAGCAGGTTCAGTGAGAGGTTGAAGCGGTGTGTGCTGCTCGGCATGCCTCTGCAGCTCTAGGGCTGGCTGCCCTCAGGTGTGGCAAGAGATATTGAGATGTCTCCAGTGCCAAAGTGAAGATTCAGCTGCCAGCTCAGTTGGTTTCAGTCCACCCTCTTGTTCTTCGCCTCAGGTGGCAAAATGTCTTGGATGGCATTGGACGTAAGCACAGCCGGAGCTTCCTTTTGCTAACTGAACCACAAGCACAGACATACACATAGTAATGAGGGGGGAAACTGAGTGATCCTACCCTAAACTGCTTGTCCTGATAATATCGATGAAGTGTATGGAAAGCAAAACAGAGTCACCAAATACTCTGGGGGTTTTTAATGTCGAAAATATTTCAGTTTCTTATATTTGGAAAAATGCTGCTGGTTTGGAGCAGAGGTATTGTTCACATACTTGTTTCACACCAGGTTTATTTTCCACATATCAGGTGAACATATGGCCAGCTTTCATTGGTTCTTGCCCTTAATGAGCAGTGTTTGGTCCTAAGGTAACTACCAGTGTGAGCTTTCTTCATATAGAAGTTGCAGAGTTGAAAGGGACCCTGCGGATCATCCAGTCCAACCCCCTGCAATGCAGTAATGAATATGCAGCTGTCCCATGTGGGGATCGAACCTGCAACCTTGACATTACCAGAGCCATGCTCTAACCAATAGCTGAGCTATCCAGGCTATTGGCCTTAATGTGTGGTGCTTTATCCTAGAGCAGCAGTAGCCAACGTAGTGCTCTCTAGAACTTGCTGTACTATAGCTTGAATCATCCTTGACCACTGGCTGTCTTGGCTGTGGCTGATGGGAGTGGTGGTCCAAAACATCTAGAAGGCACCCAGTCAGTGAAGACGGATCTAGAGGCCTCGTTTTATTGTACAGTCCGTAGGGGAAAGGCATATTTTGTATAACATAGGCGAAGTTGTCTAGGTGCTCTAGCACTGCTGAGAAGGACCAAAAGAATATAATAGCTCCAACCAGACGTGATAACGTAGTATTAAGATATTGCAAAGAAGATAAATGCAATCACTGGTGGCATTAGCAAAGCACCATGTACAGGACATGGGGCACTTTTTAAGAACAAAAAGAAAGAATTCAGATAGTAATAACAGGTTTTTTTTAATGTGTGCAAGGCTGAGGCATCTAGGTAGGTTCAACTAAGATATTATTATAGAATAGCAGAGCTTGTAGTTATTTTCACAGCTGTCATAACTGTTCATTATAGCTGAAGAAGTAGCAACAGAAGAAGCATCTCCTCATTTAAAAAAAAATAGTGGTGGAACAAATTGCCAAAGATGGGTTTTATTTGTTTTAAATGTCATAATGTGTTGTACAGAATTATGGATGATGTACAGTGTTTTGGAGCTGGAATTTGTGGAGACCTGGACTCAAATCCCTACTCAGCCATGAAGTCCTCAGATGACTTTGGACAAGTCATTAATATTCAGCCTAACCCATCCAAACAGGGTTGTTGTGGGAATAAAATAGGATTAACATATTCATGCCCCTCTAAACTGCTTGGACAAAGAGCAGGATACGAATGTGATAAATGAATGTCTCTAAAGTTCACTTAAAAGCAGATAAACATGACCCAGATAGCATCAGAAAATAAACAAGTGTGCTCTTAACCCTCAAACTCCTTAATTAAACAAGGAAAGCTTTAGTTGATCACCTAATTAAAGCTTCCATTCTATCCTACAGTGTAACAGGCAAAGTAAGTCAAGCATCTATCTATCTATTGAGAACTGTTCAGGATTTATGTATAACATGTGAGAAACACAACAAGCCTACAGAGTCACATCATTTAAAAGTTAATAATGCCTATGTCCCAACAAAATCAAACTTAAAACTTAAGCTCATTTCAGCTGGACGAGGTAACTGTTAGGTGGGTTTGTAGCTGGTTAACTAACCAAACCCAATGAGTACTCACTAATAGTTCCTCATTATCTTGGGGAAAAGGTGACAAGTGGGATGACTCAGGGTTCTGTCCTGGGCCCATTGTCCTTCAGCTACTTGGATGAAGGTATTGAGGGGATGCTCATCAAATTTACAGGTGACACCAAACTGGGAGGGTAGCTAATGCCGCAGAAGACAGAATCGGGGTCCAAGATGACCTTAACATACTGGAGAACTGGGCCAAAACTAACAAAATGAATTTCAGTAAGGAGAAATGTCAGATTCTGCACTTAGGCAGGAAGAACCAGATGCACAGATATAAGATGGGGGACACCTGGCTTACTAGCAGCACATGTGATAAGGATCTAGGGGTCTTGGTGGACCAAAAGCTTAACATGAGTCAACAGTGTGATGCAGCAAGAAAGAAAGGCTAATGCTGTTCTAGGCTATATCAACAGAGGTATAGTGCCCACATGAAGGGAGATTACAGTTCTGCTTTATTTTGCCTTGGTTAGACCACACCTGGAGTACCATGTCCAGTTCTGGGTGCCACAATTTAAGGAGGATATTGTCAAACATGGCACTGTGGGTTAAACCACAGAGCCTAGGGCTTGCCGATCAGAAGGTCGGCGGTTCGAATCCCCATGACAGGGTGAGCTCCTGTTGCTCGGTCCCAGCTCCTGCCAACCTAGCAGTTCGAAAGCACATCAAAGTGCAAGTAGATAAATAGGTACCGCTCTGGCGGGAAGGTAAACGGCGTTTCTGTGCACTGCTCTGGTTCACCAGAAGCGGCTTAGTCATGCTGGCCACATGACCCGGAAGCTGTACGCCGGCTCCCTTGGCCAGTAAAGCGAGATGAGCGCCGCAACCCCAGAGTCGGCCACGACTGGACCTAATGGTCAGGGGTCCCTTTACCTTTACCTTTTATTGTCAAACTGGATGGAACATGTGCAGTGGAGGGTGACCAAGATGATGAAGGATCTGGAAACCAAGCCTTATGAAGAAGAGTTGAGGGAGTCGGGTATGTTTAGCCTGGATAAGAGGAGACTGAGAGGAGATATGATAGCCAGCTTCAAATATCTAAATATCCAGTGGAAGGTAGAGCAACTTTCTGTTTTCCTGCTCTGGGGGGTAGGATTCAAACCAATGGCTTCAAGCTACAAGAAAGTGTGATTACAACTAAACATCAGGAAGAGCTTTCTGGCGCCAAGAGCTGTTCAGTTGTGGAACAGACTCCCTTGGAAGGCGGTGACCTTTCCTTCCTTGTCCATCTGTCGTGGATGCTTTAGTTGAGATTCCTAGATAGCAGGTGGTTGAACTAGATGACCCTTGGGATCCCTTCCAACTGTACAATTCTGTGATTCTGTATCCATTATCATACATGATCACATTCAGAGTTGTATACAAAGGATTGCAGGCAGCCCTGCTGGTCCCAGCCAGGGTGCGGGAGGGAATCCACTGAACACAATCATAAGCCAACAAAAAAATCACAGAGCCAATATGTTTTTTGCATTTCAGGCTCGATCATCTATTTTTAAAGGCGAGGGAGAGGGAAAATATGTTACTTGGAAGGACATCTTACTGAATCACCATTGTAAAACTAATATATTGTAGGTGTACTGTGGCCTACACTCTCCAACCGTCCACCTCCATTTTGTTTATTGTTTATTTTATTTCATAAAGTTTATATACTGCTTGATTGTAGGAAAAAGTCCAAAGTGGTTTTCTTTTCTTTCTTTCTGCGAGTTCACCATTTTGTCATTTTTAGATGGATTGTATTCAGGGCTTTTTTCCCAGCTGGAACTCGATTCTGGCACCTCTCAGGTGGGCGCCGTTGCCATTATAAGAGAACAAGGGAGGCGTTCATGGTGAGTTCCAGCACCTCTTTTTCTAGAAAAACAGTGCTGGTTGTCTTGCATTAGCATCACGGGTTCTGCCTTGTGTATATGAAAGCAGGACTGTCTGCTTGTCCCTGGCTTTCTCCAGCCTCAAAACAAGCTTCATTTGATGCCAGATCTGCTTCAGGCCTGGCTCGATGGGCAGGGTTCTTACTGTATGTCCACTGAAATACTTCGCAGAATTTGCTGCATTTCCGGGCCAACATTTGCTTTCTGCCATTTACTGTAGGGTACAGCAGAGCTGAGGCTTCAGGGGGAGCTACGAGTTATTCTTATCCTTGTGTGTGGCTCCTTGTCCTTCTGAGGTTGGGAACAATTCCCAGCCTTCATTTAGATTGTTCCCTTTGCGAGATTGGAAGGTTCCGCTGGAGACCTGAGCCTAAGCTGCTCCATCTCTCCCTCCTGCTATATTTAGCCCTTCCTATCCCTCCTAATAAGTGAGCCTCTGCCCTAGCGTAGGATTCTTCTGCCAGCTTAGTAACCCCTCACCTTTGCAGCGGTGCAAACTTCGCCGCACGCGGTAAAGCACCAACCCCCATCACGCCTCCTTCCCCGAAATGAACACGGGGGCTTAAAAATAGCTAAAGGAGAATGAGAAGTTAGGGGACGAAGCGGGTGGTGAATGTCAAAAAGAGAAGTTGGGAAGGGAGGTACGATTTGGAAATAGGGCAAGGAGAATACGAGGAGATGGAGGAGCAACCCATGAGGCAACAGAACTGTGCCTTGAATGTGGGGCTGAGGTTAGCAGCAGCTGGGAGAAGTAGCAGGGATTTGGGGCCCTCACAGGACAGGAGAGGGGCTGTAAACAGAGTTGGGAAGCTGCCACCCATGAGAGGCAGAGGAATGGACACTGGCGCCATTTGTGGCCAGGCAGGGCTGGTGGGCAAAGCACTGTGCCAGGAGGGTGGCCAGAGAGCTTGGAATTGAGGCAATCTGGGGTGGTAGATAAAGCCTTAGTTTGGAAAGAAGGGGGTTCAAAGCCCACACCCCTGGATAGCTGTGGGCAAGGACTTAACCTCTCATACTAACCTCACCAAATTGTTGTGAGGACACAGGGTACATTCCCCCAGAGGGTAGCCACTCTCCCCACATTACAGCGTATTTACAGAGTCTGTTTAGAGACAGCCTCTCTTTGAAGGGCTCTCTGACCCCAGTCTGCTGTAAGGCATAAGGGGAGTCGCAGTGGACCATTGAGTGTTAATACCTGGGCGGAAGACCGAGCAGGCAATCTGCAGGTCACCTGGCCGCAATCTTCCCCGCCATGCAGGGATGTATTGTGTTTCTGTTTAAATTCTAGCCATTATTTTTAAACGTGCGCCTATACATACAAATTAGCCAATGCAAATGTTACGCAAATCTGTGTGTTCTCTTCTTTGTGGTGAAACCTTCCCCTCGTTTCTTGGCAGTTGCCTAAATGGCCCTTCTGCCTGAGTTCTAGAGAGGAATGGTGGGACGACATTGTGAAAGAAGGAACAATGGCTCCAGTCCCACTGCCATATTTTTAATAACTCATTTGATGTTTTATCACACATGGGCTTGGAACAGAAATGTCACAGAGCTTCCAAAGCTCTTGTGTTCCATGGCCTTTTGATCTCGCTCAAAGGCCTTCCCTCGCCACACCTGGCTGGACCGTTGAAGGGAGGGAGGCAGAGATGGTCTGCCAAAGATGATTAATCTGATGAAGGCGGCACTAGCCCATAAAAGCTTATGCCACCATAAATCTGGTGCAGACCAGCTCTATGCATCTTTACTTTGAAGTAATTCCCCATTAAACACCATGGGGCACACTCCCATGTAAGTGTGTGCTTGCAGCTGTAAGCCTTAATCTTTCAGGTGCCACCTGTCTCTGCTGTTTTGCTTTAACCCTAACACCATTCCTAGAACTAGCAA